TTTCATTATGAAACAAAAATACCAGAAAGTAGACTAAAATAGCCAATTAGATCTGTCATTATTTGAAATATCATTAGATCACATGTAATGCACTTGTATATTTGCTGAAAATCAACGATGAACCAACGTACACACAAAGACGTAGGGATTAATTACCTTAAAGCACATACTAGCTACTTTGACTTCGGTTTCCATTTGTCGGCACTTTGATATGATTGCTGATTTCGAACGCTTTTGTGTGTCGTGTTGGCGCTAGCGACAACAGTACAAAGCAAAAACGGCACGTTGTTGGACTCTCGTCTTGTCGTCCTATCGCTAACAATGTACGCCAAACGGCGCGTTGTCCTGCGGCGTGTTTTTTGCGATGTCACCTTGTTGCTCGGTTCAAATCGAAGAAGCGACAACCCGCCACACGACCACTCACCGTTTGGCGTGCTTCGTTAAAGACAGGGCAACAAGTTGATAACGTGTCGTTTGGTGCTTTTTCGCGTTGTCACTAGCAACAAGACAAAAAGTGGATAACGCTATAGGTTGCGTTGTCGCTATCAACAACGCAACGCCAATGTACCAAATTAGCCACCATACTTTAATGTGTTACATGTATACCGGTGAATTTATAGGCCTAGGTGCTTAATATTTCTTTTTACTTTGGGACCATGCGATGCTTTTTACAAAATGGCACAAAAATGTATATATATTGAAGGATTATAGATATAAATTATTCAAAGTTCAAGCATGTTCATGTCTGCATAAAACGGTTCTAGGTGACGTGGGCAATGACCACTACCGTTCATGAGCCTATTTTGCCTGTTCTTGTGCCCCGTAAAATACAGTTTTTGTGTCTTGGTCTTTTATTTACTTGTGTCGGGGTCAGGGGTAATGATGAAACCATGACAGTATGTATACATGAGTATGAGCAAATATCCTTGGACATACTCACTTAAATTTAGTAAAAATATATATTTATCAGAGTTGATTTTATCACTAGGTCATCAGAATCAATATGATCAACTTCTTGCATACGAGTGTCCAAGTAACCACTACATAAGCGGCATGTACAGTCATCATGATAACCGTCATGAAGACAGAATCTGGAGTTTCAGGTGTTGTGAAATACATGGTAATGTAAATAATGTCATTTATTATCATTCTTAATGCCCTTAACATAATTATTTTCTCTTTACATGTTTTATGAAAGCAAATAAATAGCTCTCGAAAAGAATATTACATATGAATGGTAACGAAGTTTGCCGACATTTTACGACCTAAATATTGTGTGAACACATTAACTTTTATTCATTAATTATTCCTGAGAAGCTTGTAAAATATCAATTCACTAATTATTTTTACCGGCATTTTGGTAATTGTGTCAAGGGAAATAATACACTCTTTAAGTGCAAACGTGCTGAAGATTTCTTAAACTGTACTTCCAATGATAAAGAATTCTAAATAAAATATCGGTTTTCCTTATCTGAATCGCATGTGTGCACTGAATCATTGACCTCACTCTTATTCAAAAAACTGTCTAAGTAACACAATCGAAATTTTAACGAAATTTACAGGTACTTCGAATAAAAAATTCGCAATTACACATATCAAATCATTAAAGATTTACCATGCACATTACTGCCATTTTTTGAGCATGTTCAAATCAAATCGAGCCTGCTTCATTTGACCTAGTGTTGTAAAGGAATATATATATCTATAATAATTGTTAAATCGTATTTTGAATTTGACAAATCTTTTCGACAAAATGTTTTCAAAACTGAATAACTAATTGATGAAAATATTATTATTTTAGTTAGTTTAAACATAGTTTATTTCGAACAAATTCACAGTATATATAGATAATGACAGTAATAATGTACACAATACAAACACGAATTGTTGAAAAAGGATTAGGTCCGAAATTATTTTTATTCTATTATTATTATTATTTTGACAGATATCCATCTAGTTGACTGCGATTACACTCAATGGACAAACGCTTACGATGGTGCACAAAATTTCCACGCTCCTGCTGATAAAGTAATGAAAGGTGTGGTGTCGGTACATGACAATCATAAAGAGTAAGCTTTTTTACCTATTTACCCGTTTAAATTGCACCTCTAACAACCAATGAGGTCAAAACAAATCTGGAGAAAAACCAAGTCATGGCTCGAATATTCTTCTATTGAACCAAGATTTAAGAGTATTCTCAAAATTGAGATCATCGAGTTAGGTAGGTTTTGTTTAAAACTTTGTTGTCACTGCGTTTTGGCGCTGGGTTGATTTCAAGCCTGGCAGTGGTAGTCCTCTTTTGCTGCTTCTTTAAAAATGAAAATTGTGTTTCGTTACGTAAAATTGTGTTTCGTTAAGTAAAATGTACTTAGTAAATGTGTACTTTTGTGAATGGTTATATATCATTTATTTCTATGGCGACATTATAACGACAGCATATATACATCATACGATTTATTTTTTAAACAAATAGTATGTCACAGCCCTGATAAATTAACATTATCTTGAAAGATAATATAAGAGTATATCTGTTTTAATTGTGTTTTGTAAAATACGCCAAATTTCATTTTGTTTCAGGGACAGACAATATAAATATCAATTATGTAATGCTATACGCGGAACAGAGCCAGGAGTAGTGGGAAAGTAGTTCCATACATTGTTACAAATTTGAATGGTTATAGATGTATACTTGCATACTTAACAAAATCAGCAATAAAAGAAAACAAATTTAGTTGTTCCAAAAAATTTTACTTTCCCAAAATGTCACTTAACATGATTATGAGAGGAACTCAATTATATCATCATTTATTATGCATGTAGATTAAATTAAATTGATGTTAATCAACAAGAAAGGATAGGTATATGGAGTATATAAAAAGATTAGCAAAGTATGTTTAGATAAGAACAGACTGGTAAACTGTTATAAGAATGCTAAAACATATTGGATTGTGGTTTATACACGCCTTAACTGGAAAAATAAAGTTGAATGGTTTTGAGGATCATTTTAAAGCAATTAACATCCCAGATGACATGTATATGTTCCTGATAAAACTGATTATAGAGTTTAATAAACCGTACCTTAATAGTAAATAAACTGTATATAATGTTTCTAGAATTCGATCCTGATATGATTATAAAAGAGTTACAAATAACTATAAAACAATCAAGAAATTGGAAAGGTTGTGGTCCTGATTTTTACATCAATATTTTTTTAAACATGGTAGTTCCCAGCTGCATTCGTCAATTAAATCTATAAATAAGATATTTATACATCACTACAGCAGATGTCAAGTGCTATGTGGCAGCCGTTATAAGTTGCCCCTTACTTCACTTCAGCGTTGTTATATTTTTCTGATCTTTCGGGGTCATTGAGTCCAACACTTTAAGTGTTCAGAATTGAGTGCCCCTCAACCCGGTGCTAGGGGCGTGAGGGATATTGCACTTTTTCATTATCCCTCATCTACAGACTCAATCAAACCGAGTCTGCAATTTCCATATAATTTTGCTGTTTTTAATGCTTCCGGGGGTCACTTTTTCCCAGATATTTATACTAAATAAGACAATTAGCGTATTTTTCAAAGGTATGGATTAATGATTACATTATACAATTAAATTGAATGACGTTGGAAATTACAGAGGTATTACATTGAATTACAGATTGGATAAGTGAGCAGAGAATTATAATGTTAACATACAAGTATCTTGTGAAATAAAGTATATTTACAAATAATTGCTAAGTTTCACAATTCAATTGGGCCGCAGTGTATACCGATGTTAAGTAAAGTTTCTTGGACAATGCTAACCAGTTTAGGTACATATACAGCAAAGGATAAATATCCATTTTGTGTTTAGCATTCACACTTCAACAAACAATGATACATTTAAAGAAAAACATCTGGGTCTGTTGTTTACTTTGGCGACTTGAACAGTTATAACACGCTGTACAGTCATTCCTATTGAATTTGCCCGTCCAACTAAATAGGGAAGATACCTAGATACATGCAACAGAAAAAAAAGAATACCAAGTGGAGAAATAAACAAAAATGTTGCTCTCTGAGAATGCAAAAATACAATGGTAACAAGGTTGGATGAACATACACCGATAATATTCAAAGAAGTTGAAATGAGGAAATATATGTATTCCTATATATTTATTATAAATATCAGGCTCATTTTTGACCAACCAACATAAAAATGTTATATTCAGTTATTCTTTATGCAATACTTTATTCCTCTTTAAGCTCATGATAATATAAACTGAGTGTATAATCTCAGGTATCCTTGGCATAACATAGGATGTAGTGTTTGTTATTTGATATATATATAAACTATATAATTATCAATAAATACAATCTGAGAAGAACAGCTGAATCGTTGAAGAAGGCACAAAACGGTATAAACCTAAAGCAACCAAAACAAGCAACTTATAGTTTGTACTATCAACTATTCGATTTCAAAGTAAATTTCATTTCCTCAATCTTTATCAAAATACTACAAAATACGTTGCAATTTTCTTCAGGTGACTGATTTTGCTTTAAATGTTATAGATACTATTTGTTGTATTTATTAGCTCATGGCTTGCATATTTCAATAGCTTTAAATTTCATTTAGTTTTTAGGTTGTCAGCCAAGGATGAAAAATCCGCGTGGCTATTTGCCATCCTACTGCAATCTCTTTATTTGCTGAACAGGTTCATTTACAGACTATTATTATTATTATTCATGACAGATAATCAAAAGACGCTATAGATATTTCTTATTTGTTTATTTTTGTACATTTCAGTCAATTATTGTTTTTAAAATGCATATATAGTTTTAAAACGTTTTTGTTAAATATTTCAATAAACATATAGATGAGGCATGGATAGTCAGGCTTAATTTTATATAAAAAAACACAATAATTTAGTAACTCAAAATAGATAAAAATTTAAAAGTAACAAATATTCGAAACCACATCTGGATATTCTTATCAGGCACAATTATAACATAACGCCACGTGATAGCGTAGATAATTTAGTAAATATTGATGAAATCACGGTGTCTTAGAGGTCAATTCATATCTATTGTTCTTAAAGGAGTGATATAAAGTCAGGTTGTGACTTTTAGACCTGTTTGTTAGTTTGAGTTACAAGAGGAGTAAACAACAATCAAGGTTAGTTCAATTAACTTTAAACAAATTGTTACTTATATTAAAACTTTTTAAATATTTTCAAAGTTTGTGTTTATTTAAGCTATTTCAAGTTGACCGTATGAATGGTACAGTGTATGAATAGCTTTTGCGAACTTTCCATTGAAACAATAGCTCTAAGGAAAAGAAAACCGTATTAATTATGGCATACAGTATTTAAGTGTCTTGTTCGGTAGCAACATTTTTGAAATAAAGTTTTATCGTTTTTGCTTTACGATTAAATCAAATCATTCAATCGGTGATGGTTTTCCTGATCCAACGTATTTATAGATCTGCTCCTGTGCAATAATTATGTCATAACCAGAAACACAATAATAAATAATAATAATTTTTAATAGAGCAAGCAGACACGTTAAACACAAAAGCATGATAATAATTAATTCACTTAATGAATATCTTATTAAACTCAACTAGATAAGATAATTCCATTAGAACAGAAAGTCACCTGATGTATCAAATCCTTTCACAGAAAAATGTTACAGTGACCTATAACTGCTTAAACAACTAGTATGAAATACAACAAATCCGACAACTCCCAGTCCAAAAAAAGCAAAATTTCAGCAAAACAACAATTAAAGCGTAACATATACAAACATTAGAACATCTATACATAAATATAAACAAGTATACATACAAACATTAAAACAACAAGCCTTCAGAATCCCTTTGCAGTAAAGACCCACAAAAAAGGAAAATTATAACCATCAACAATCTACTAACCTAAGATTGATTTTTAAGAAGTTATGGAACATCTGAATTCGTGTAGCTTTAATTTACAAAAAGACAAACAGAAAAAAGCAACTAAAACACTGTACAATAAATACATTGAAATAAAACATTGTGATATCAGACAAACAACAACCCAAACAAGAACAATTATTTAAGGATAACGTCCAGTAACCATTACCACTTGTCCAGAAGCCCTTAAAGAAGAACAATACCTCCTTTAAAACGGAAAAAGCCTAGGTGAAATACTGATACTTCCACCATAAGAGTATATAAAAGACTGAAGGAATAATACACTTCCTTCTAGCCCTAACCTACTCATCAATTTACCCAACTGACTATTATCACAATATTCAAAAGAATCATATAAAAGAAAAGTCACAAACTACATATTATAACAACAAACTATATATACACAAGGATACAAAAGTTATATCCCTAAAAGCAACAGTAGCTATTGATCAAATCAACAAACACAGAAAAATGCCTATCCGGACATATCAAATATTTATGTATAAAAAACAAATCTGCACCACTTGCTGTAAACAAAAATTTAACCTGGTTTACATAGCAAATTTACCCTTAATTAAATGTGAAAAAGTGTGAATGAAGAAATTACGTAAACGACGAGTTCCTTCAAAATTTAAATGTAACCCACCATCTCTGACTGCAAACAAATCAGAAATTGGCTTGCCACCATGAAAAAAGAAACGGTATGAATGAACAAATTGACATTTACGTTCCTTGCATTTAGCCTCTAACCTTTGGTTAACTAATTTGACTTTACCACTTGTTTGAGAATAATCGGCAGGCCTAGGCAGAATGCTGGAGAAAACAATGTGTGTAGGAGAAATATCACGAATAACTGTGATCAAATTGTTGAAATAACTGATAATTTGGTCTACAGACAATTTATCACGAGAGTTTATATCATTAGTACCAACATGTATAATAGTAAAATGTTTTTTTTTTCACTAAAGAATGATCCCGTTGAATCTTAGAAGTCAAGCGAACCAGATTGATGCCCGTAAAAGCATGAACTTTTGAATGCCAAATTCCATCTACATACTTAGCCATGGAATCCGATAAAATGTGAACTTGCACATCTGTAAATAGAAAAATCAGAGCTATAAAAATTATATTGTCTCGAACATTTTTGATAAAATGTTAGCCTTATCAGACCAATTCAGTTCCAAATACGATTTATAAGCGTCTGACTTCCAATCCCCTAAAAGCTGAATATGCTCTGGGGAAATATCAGAACGATGAGCTAAAGTTGCAAAACCCCTAAAAGAATGGGAAGAAAAGTGTTTAGGAGATAAGCCAATTGAGGCAATACACTTCCTTAATTTCTTTTGAAATAAATAATATGAAACATAAGAACCATTAGAAAGAGAAAATAAAACATTATTACTATTGTTAAACTTTAAGGCAAGCCTTTTTTCATATGCAACTATACAGGACATAATCTAACATCCTTAAGCCTCAACAAAGGACTAATAACCTCTCTTTCTCCATACTGAATTGTTTTTGACCAATTAAAATAAACCAAAACATAATCACCGAAATAGCGCACACTCTCTTTACTTAAAAACCGACCTTTAGCAATATCTGAAAAATTTGCGGGGACCAAATTAGATTTTCTAGCCACAAGAAAAAAGGCAAATAAAAACAAACACCAATAAATAAGATTATCACCAATTGAAAAGTCGAAAATTCCATAAATCTGTAACAATATATTCAGAGTAATGGGCTCCGCCTTCTTAATTGACCTAGGCTTTAATCTATGTAAACCTTTAAAAGACAAATTTAACAAGTACGTGTTAATATTATCAATATTGTAACCTAAACACAAATGTAAGGTTTTAACACCACTCACATAATTCTTAATACTTTCCACTGAGACAAATGATCTGCTCATAAATTGAGCGTATAATTGAAAAGTGACAGTAGAGGCGGGTAAATAACACAATGTAAAATATAAACAAAACAGAATAAAACTTTCCCACTGAATGCTAAGATTTTTATTTGTCCCTTCTGCAAACGCTGAAGTGTTGGACTTTCTAAGCTCTCGCTTCAAAACCTTAAGCTCTGATTCTGAAACAAGAAGTTACCAATCATGTAGAAATTTAAAATGATCTACAGGAACCATAACATCGGTCAAAGAAGAAAAAGTTGAAACACAGTCAAAAAACTGTGCTTTAAATTTAGGATCTAAATGCCATCTTCTCAAGCAATCTGCAATACGATTATTAGTACCTGCAAGATGAGTAGCCCTTAACTGAAACTCATGTACTGAAGCTATGAAACAAATCTCTCTCAAACAATTTTGCAAAATGTATTCCTAGCTCTACCTGTATTGATAACAATACAAACGGCCAAGTTATCACAAAAAATAACCACTTTTTTCCCTTGTAAATCAGGACCCCAAAGCTTCAATGCAACTAAAACAGTCAACATCTCTAAACAAGAAATGCTCAATAACTGATCCAAAAATATCCTGGAAATGGAGTATGAAAAAATTTAGAACCATAAATACCGCCACAACCAATTAAACAACTATCAGAACTAAAAACACTGTCAACTTGTAACCACTCTCCGTAATCAATTAAGGAAATTCCATTATAAATGGGTAAAAAATTATTCCACCATAATAAGTCTTTTTTCACTTCTTAGGGAATATTAAAAACATTCATTTGAGTATCATAACACTCTCTTAACCAATTCAAAATACGATTAATAAAAACACGACTTGATCTAACACATGCTCCGACAAAATTTAATTTGCCAAGCAATTTCTGTATATCTTTTAAAGATGCAGGCTCTCGGTTCAACCATGAAGAAACTAAATCCTTAATCTCTTTAGGCCTGTCTTCTGTAACCTGCATAGTTAAGAACGTCTGTCAAATAAAACACCTAAAAATATCATAACCTGAGAAGGAGCACAAGCTTTATCAATAGCCTCCTCAATTCCACTTCTAATAAAAAGTTCACGTAAAAATTGAATGCAAAAGTAGCCGTTAATTCATTTTCTACCCCTGCAAAACCATCCAAATAATTTAAACAAGATAAACCCACATTACACATCATGATAGCAAAGGCGTTAGTAACCCTTTGACAAATATATGCGGAAGACCTTAACGTCATTGCTTAAGCTGTATCAAAAAAGATATGATTTTTCCATGAAAAACCGACCAGATTATAACTAGAAGGACAAATACTAATCTGTCTATATGCCCGCCTTAAATCCAGTTTATACATAAAAAACCTTGACCTTTGCTCTTAATTAAGGCTACAAAATCATCAATTTTCGGGAAAACTAACTCCACCTTGTTCCCAAGATAATGATCTTTAGGAACAGAGTCATTTACCCCATTACCATTCTTAGGATAACTTAAATCCAAAATCACCCTTCGTTTATTTGGATTTGATTTATGAACAGTTTTAAGAGGAGAAATAACCATACCTTCAACAAAAGGACAACTATCGAAAGGTCCAATAATAGCCCCATATGAAGCTTCTTTCTGTAAATATTTGACCATATCATCTGGAAACAAAACAGCACCAATATGATTCTTCACTTTTGAAGCTTCAGACAATAAAATACTTTTATCCTCTAAATCAATATCAATAGGAAACCCGAATTTCAATATATCACAAACCTGCATATCAAAATAACCATGAAGCATCTTACTCATAAAATCAGTATCAATTTTATGATTAACCTGAATCCGGCAACCTTCAAAGTAAAACTTACCAGAAGCTTTAACTTGCTTAGCAATATCAATCTTCTCTACAGAAGATGAATTCAACTCCTCTTTAAGAGTTAAACAAACTTTACATCTTCTATCATGATTACAAAAACAACCAGTATTAGAAGAAGGAACTTTACCGACCAAAGAACTGACAAATTTCCTTTTACAATAATCAGGTAAGAAAACATCAACCAAATTATTTCTTTAAACAACATTAATAGACAGTCACTGATTTGTATGTGGGCAAGCACTAGAGCATTCTGGATGTGGTAATTCTTTCTTATCCAAGTCCCAGGAAGTAGCGCAGATGTGTTTAGCAAAACGAATTTTACCTCCTTTACTAGTGACTTCATGAGCAGACTTTAGAGAACATTTATTTCTCTGAAACTTAGAACAAAACCAGACACTCTTATAATCAACTGTACCAGTACTAACTTTTTCTTGAGGGAGGCCATTCCTGGGATTAGGCTTCAACTGTACTTACTCTGACCTATACTTAAATTTTTAACCATATCTAGACAGAACTCAATTTCTCTCTGTTTGGCAGCGTTTAAAGACTTAGTTACTACAAATTCATATGAGCTGTTAAGATACATCAGTTTTTTTTAAATAAATTTAAGCGTCCTTGTTTCTCTTGTCTACTAATCTTTGAAGAACAAACAATCTCTAACTCTCCCGCAATGAATAAGTTAAAATCAAGTTTCTCAAATGAAACGTCCTTACTCACAAAATCAAAGCGCAGATTCGCATGTGGATAACGTTGCTTATATCTAACCGAGTCAGAAGATCTAGAAGTAATACCTGATTTAGTTCTGTGTTTTCTACCTTGAATCTTAACCCTCTCATGACTTAAAGTCTAAATGTACAGACTCAATCAAGCCGAGTCTGCAATTCTTACGTAATTTTGTTGTGATTAATGCTTCCGAGGGATCACTGTGTTTCCAGATTTTTAAAGAGGAATCAGAGTAACTTTCATCCTCAGAAGTAGAACTTGAATCAGAGGTAGAACTTGAATCTGTATCAGATGATTCAGAACTTAACAAACCTAAATTTGCTAATTCCTTCTTGGCAGACTTTTTTAAACCAGGTACTTTCAGCAAAGCGTCAATAGTAACAAACATACCTTCTTTTGAAGTACCCGCACCTTTGGACGACGTCTGTTTCACCGGAGGGGCACTCAATACAGTCTGTTTACCCTTTTTGTCAACTTGACCCCTCTTCTTACTTTTTGTAGTGGTGCCACTATCCTTCACATGAGCGGAACCTGACACAGATAGTAACTTCTCAAGGTCGTGAATGTACGTTTCCTTTTTTTCTACTTGCCTCCTAAGCATCTCCAGCTCATTCCGTTCCTGCAAGCGAGCCTGCTGTTCGTCTAAAGCTGACAAACGAGCCAACAAATGTTCTTTTTCAGAAACCTTGACATCTCCCTGAAGTACTTTAGACTGTGACGAAGCGACATTCTCCCTAGGAAAATCATACAACTGGACGGGAGAAATCGTTATTGCCTCTGAAATATGTGGTTTCTTAGCAGGTGTGGATATTCTTCCTTTATTCATTGCTTTGTAATCGATTACTTCTTTATTTCTCGCTTATTTTCGGTCACTCATGATGAACAGTAAATTCGAAAACAAATTATACTTGTCCTTCACACAAAAAGACTACAAGCTGGTCCCAAAACAGCTGATTTTCAATAACAAATAGTCCCGAGTACTACATCGTATACGAGTAAATTGATAACAGAAAATATTTGAAACTAAATGTCGGGCACAGTAAAACCTTTCATGACAACAATTTTCTCAAATTTAAAAAAGCGTCTAATCTCAAACGTGTCTGACAAAACTGTAACAAGAATGGCGCCAAAACTATCTATTTATAAGCACTAGCGTAGTAAAACAATTTGACCTTTAACCTGTCATAATATCATTTAACCTATAACCTTAGAAAATAACCAATTAAAAAGCCTGTTATATTCCATAATTATAAGATTTTATTCGTAAACAAAATGCTTCAAATCAAAACAGAAAATCTGAAGTGATTAACAGCTCATTTCTTTAATGCTTTTAAATGTTTATTTAATCTCAAATGTGAAGAAAGCTTGCAGCTTAATTAATCTACCCGGGCCCCTTTCCTAGAGCTATCCAGTTGGTGGTATATTATAAAAAGCTGGTTATTAGGGTGCAAGTCTACCAACCCTTGACCACATCGATTAAGCCACCACTCCTGTCTGATGACAGCATACTTAAATTATTACCTAGCATTATTACCATATTTTATATGTAGTTGCTATGGTATGCATAGTTACTCTTTGTACTTACAAACAGTACCAATTCCCTGACGCATTAATTGGCGTCCGCGCCGAAGCGCGGCGCCTTTTATGGAATGAAATCAGATTTTGTGAAAGGGCGACAGCAACTTCTCGAGCCTTTTAGTCGGACATAAAGGGTGCTTGATTATAATGTCGCGATATATACAATGAAATCGCGAACTGGAGAATTTTCAAATGAAATAACCTTTTCCGTCAATAAATCGCGCTCTTCGGGGTATTTATTATTTATCATTTTGTAGTACACAGTGGGTTATTATGGTATGTTATTACCAATATACCGAAAATCTATTTATAGAGGGATGTACTCCTATCGGTAATTCCCGGTCTCTGCTGGTCTATTTTGACCGGGATTTACTAATGGCCGGCGAATAGTACCACACGTTTATTGTCCGGTCTCTCCCGGTTTTGCAGTAGATGTTTGATATCGTTACAGAACAGAACAAATATTTTACAGATAAATATGCTTTTTTTCAAAATGAATGTTTGTCACTTAGTTTGGTTACAATAATTAATAAACACAGATCAACTCTCAAATTTATTGATTATTATTATACATAAACATACAATTCGAAAAAAAAACCAACAACAACAATAGCATGTTTTATTTTATCTATATGAGATGAAAACAATTAATATGTACAATAAAAAGGGACATTTTTATGGTATTAATATGACACTATCAACTTTGAAACATTTTATTTAATTTGTTATTCGTGTTTAGTATAGATGCCGAGGAATTATTTAGTAAAGATGCCGAGGAATTATTCAAAGTTACAAATTAGATAATTGATTGATAATTTAAAAAATGATAAAGAAAAATACAAATGTACATGTATATGTTTTAAGAATAAACAATATTATATATTGAAAGATTAACCATAATTTTCTGACTTTTTCCAGAGACATAGATATCTATGTCTCTGCTTTTTCCAGTTAAGTTTTGACTTATAATGGTCGGTCAATATGACAATTGAATTCTTAAAATAATAGTTAACGTAAAAACTCAGTATTATAAAAGCACATAAAACACAAAAAAAAAGAAAAGAAAACAATATTCATAAAATCTGTATTTTTTTTTATTAAAATAGATTTTACAATTATTGTAAACAATTATGCTCAACATGATCAACATGGTAATATAACCATGATAACCAGTGTCATATTGTTAGTAAGTGTGAACAGATACCTTTAGAGGGGTCTTCGCTAATAGTGATAACATAATAACAATAACACAAGTGTGGTGTTGACCATGCGTTACACATATGGATTATAAATGATTGTATACATATATATCCGTTGCTCATAAAGAAATTACATGTAATATTCTAATCTCTAGCATGCCAATCAAAGTTAATAATGAACAATGTCTTTCGTCCATTCATTCATAAGTGGTAAAAACCAAATATTCATTGAAAAGTTTATAAGAATATCTTGTCATCATATATCTACTAGTTCATCTTCACCTGCTGCATTTCTTGCTTGGACGCCCTTTGATGCTTTGCATCAATGCTTTTCTTGTTAATAGTTTTGAATGAGATCGAATAGATCTTCATTTTTATTATATTTTTAAAATTATACTTTCATTAAAAATAATCTAGTATTTAGAGGGTATTCATTTTTTACAAAAACATTTGTACAGGATTTATTTTCATCGATTGGTGTGAAAATAAATATTTCATGAGCGGCGGTAGCCACGCGTGAAATATGATAATTTTCATACCACAAGATAAAAATAAATCCTGTATTTATAAAAAAACTTTAATTTTATGTTTATTATATACATTTTTCTCTTTTTTTTTTGACATCACAATTTGAAAGACTTTCCCTTAAATTTTGTGTATTTTCTAAATTTTGAAGAAGTAGTCCGGCAAAACACCAGTAAAAATGCGGAGAAAAAAGTTTCACTGCGATGAAAAATAATAAAACTAGCTTTCTTTCCTTAGATTATTTTGGGAAACATTTTATTGTAAATAAGCATTCTTTGTTTGGACGGTGGGATTTGTTCTCACAACGCTTTAAAATTATTACTGTGCGTAGTAGCATCTTGTTCTAAACGTCGATTTGTTATTAAATGATCATTGTCTTTTATTTCCACTTTCCCTTCCATTCTGATTGCTTTTCAGTTATATAGTAGTTCAAGTTACATTTGAAAGTCATATGACAGCATTTACTTTTTATATATTGAATTGACATTTCTTTTATAAATGAAACGCCTCGAACTAGTACAGGGCAAATTTTAATTAGACGGCAGCGCGTTTTTATAAATAAGTCATACCTGTGAAAAAAATGATTAGTAGAGTCCTTCAAAATATTCACCATGGACCTCTACAAACTTTTCAAGGGTCATAATCCGTTCCCAAAAAGCATTTTGAACAGATCTTTTGGTTAACTGTTTATATCATTCGACCGCTAGGGCAAGATTTGATGTATGGATTTAACCAAAAGTCACATGAAGAGAGTTTAAGACTATACGCGGAATATGTAGCAAAACCTCAATTCTCTGATCCTCTAAATAAGCATGGAGCAATGCTGGCCGGTGCACTTGTGCATTATCACGAAATAATTTATTCCCGCGCAACCCGGACACTGGGTTATTTGTAATGTAGTAATTAACTATAGCAATGAAAACATGGTCACGGTAAAATGTGCCTCTAAGGCACAACGACATGAGCCACTAGTTCATCACTGTCAGTAGATCTACATAACTCTTTTAACGCTCCTTTTGGTATGTCGAGCAACAACTTGGCCATCGCTGTTTGAAAGTAGATCCAATGAACTAAATATTGTTTAAACTAAACTAAAATGTTTTACAGGGATTGACAGCCATGATGAAATGTTTTATTTTCTATTTAATACAGATGATATTTGCAAGTATCTTCGCGTTATGCATGCTGCGTCAGGGTATGGCATATTTGAATGCCTATGATCAAGACCTAAATTTCGCATGTCCAAAGGAAACACAGTCTGTAAGTCATGTAGAGAGTATTCATGACAACCATAAAGAAGACAGAATGTTCGACATTTCCTGTTCTGACGTCACTAATGACGTAAGCGGTGTACGTGCATCATGTTTTGTAACAGGTACAATTTTTAAGTCAATATTTGCATAATAAAACATTGCAACGGTTTAAAATTACAGAAGGATAAACATTATAAATACTTTACTTTGATGATTTTTGTCGGACAAGACATGTATTAATCATCTAGTTCCATATTTACAAATGTACCAGTCTATGGTGAAAATTTATCTTTTGATGACGTTTAATTTCGAAAGCAATCAGACTTAGTACAATGCGTGGGATATTTGCTTTAAACGCAGTTAACAAAAATATATATTTATCAAAGTTGATTTTATCACTAGGTCATCAGAATCAATATGATCAACTGCTTGCATACGAGTGTCCAGGTAACCACTACATTAGCGGCATGTACAGTCATCATGATAACAAATATGAAGACAGGATCTGGAGATTCAAGTGTTGTGAAATGCATGGTAATGTAAATAATGTTACTAATCATCATTCCTAATACCATTAACATAATTATTGTTTATTTACATGTTTTTGACAGGAAATAAATAGCTTTCGAAAAGAATATTACACATGGATGGTAACGAAGTTGGTCGACATTTTATGGCCTAAATATTGTCCAAAAACTGTAACGCAGTCCTGAAATTTTAACATGAAAATTTAGAAGTAATTTGAAATAAAGATTCGCAATTACACGTATCAAATCATTCATTAACATGACGTTAGCTGAATAAAAGTACAATAAACTAATCAGAGGTTTAGCATGCACATTATTGCCATTCTTGACCATGTTGAATCAAACCGAGCCTGCTGCATTTGACCTAGTGTTTTGCAGGGATTTTCATCTGTTAAATAATTGTTAACTCATACTTTAAATTTGACAAATCTTTTCGGCAAAAATATTCAAAACTGAATAGCTTATTGATGAAAATATTATTATTTTGACAGATGTCCACCTAGATGATTGCGATTACACTCAATGGACAAACGCTTACGATGGTGCGCAGAATTTCCACGCTCCTGCTGGTAAAGTAATGAAAGGTGTGGTGTCGATACATGACAATCATAAAGAGTAAGCTTCTTTATAACATTGCACTTGTAACATCCAATGAGGTCAAAACAAATCTGGAGAAAATCCAAGTCAAATATACTTCTATTAAACACAGAATAAGGATTATTGTCAAAATTGAGATCATCGAGTTAGGTAGGTTTTGTTAATGCGTTTTGACAGTGTTTGTCAAATTATGTTCCTCTTTTGCTTCTTCTTGTTTTGTTTTGTTATGTAAAATCAATTTAGTAAATGTTTGCTTTTGTGATTGGTTATATATCATTAATTTCTATGTTGACATTTTAATGACAGCATATATACACCATATGATTTATTTAAAAGTAAATATAATTTTCAAATTACGTTCGAACTCACAGCCCTGATATAAAACATTGCTCAAGACAATATTGTTAATATTTGTTTAAATAAATTAATTGTAATTTGTTTCAGGGACAGACAATACAAATATCAATTATGCAATGTTATACGCGCAACACAGCCAGGAGTAGTGGGAAAGTAGTTCCATACATTGTTACAAATTTGGTTAGCTATAACTGTATACTTATGTAACAATATCAGCAATAAAGAAACAAATAGTTCGTTTCCAAATTTAACTTTTCCAATCTGTCACTTATCATGATTATAAGAGGAATTTCTTTTGTGCAAAAAGGTACAAAATATAGTATCATTTTAAATAAATTAATCTAAAAACACATTTTTGTAATGAATAAGTACATTCGTTGAATCGTCGCATTATACAAATCACTTTATTGAAGCTTCCTAGTGCTATATGTAGGGCACTATCATAATACAAATACAACCAAAATGAGCAGTGTCAAGTACAAACACATCCATTTTCAATGATAGTATTTTAACAATATTTAATGTCATTCAGTCATTCTTTTTAAGTATATTGTATAAGAATTGCAACCTCAGGATTCGAGATTATAAAAGCATATTAAAGTTACCAAATTTATTGAATCCAATTGGACCAGGAATAAACATTTAAATATAAACTCCATTATATCATTATCTATCATGCATATAGATTAAATTAAAAGGATGTAAATACACAAGAAATGAGACGGGCCAGAAGTATGTAAAAAGGTTTAGATACGTAAAGCAAAGTATGTTTATAGACAAGAACAGCCTGGTAAACTGTTATAAGAATGTCAAAACATGTTGGAATGTACTTAAGGGTTTGTACACGCCTAAAACTAGTAAAATAAAGGCTTGATGTTTTATATGCACATGATGGAAACTTGTCTATTCGAAAGAATTTCAATAACAAAGTGCGGAAATTGAACTACATGAACCAACAGTATGGATATACAGTTTTTTCCAGCAATAACCAGGCGACAAATGTTGATAGTTCATTTTCGGTTCAAGCGAGTTAATAGTTGAATATTTGGCTATTGATTTCGTTTTGTTTTACGGTGAACCTAAACAACTGAGGCCGTATGATATGGCGTTAAACAAGAAAAAATAATTCTGGCTAAACACAGGTGTTACAAAGCTTAAGCAACACCAGAGATCAAAACTACCTCACCTGCCGGAGACTTCATTTAATCGAACCAATTTTGTCGCCTTTTACGATCATGCAGGGATAAACGGTGGCTGCAATTCTGATGCCTCATACCTAAAAGGCAAACCTTCAGCCACAATAGATAAGACATGTATCCATTTTTTTTCAAATAAGAATGCTATTGTAAAATTGCATTTACTAATTATTTCAAAGGATTATTTCTATTCAAGGCACAAATGCTCAAATAATTTGAACCAGCTTGTAAGATTCTGTTTTGCAAAAATAGCCATGTGATAAGCTATACAGTATAAGCATGAATATTTCACATATAATATACTCGATGCCCAATTCCTATAAAAAACAACAGGAAAACGGAATCCCTATATCTAACGCTCAAAACGACAAAATGAAAATATTGTAGCTTCGGGTTGATTGAACCTGATCATGGACGCTACGGGAAGGTGAAACTGGGACCAAGATTTGAAAGTTTTTTTTCTTCTTCACGGATAAGTTCCATAGTCATTGACATAACACAGCAATTATTATAAACTAAGGGTTATGGTTTGTTTATTTTAGTAAGAAAAAGTGCTGCAAACTAGATGAAAATGCAGATCGTGGACGTTCTCTAAACAAGCTCCAGAAACTTCATAAAGTGAGCAATCTGTGTTAGTTTTTTTTTTTTGAGACGAAAACTAAAAACAAAAGCCAATGGCACTAAATCAAATTTTATCATTTCATAGAATAATTAGTCAAAGTGTTTAATGCAAGGCCTGCATACAAGTCAGCTTCTGATTTGTTCCATCCTATATACAGGTCTGTGTGCAATGTTTACATTTTTCACTACTGACATTTATGTACAGGGTTCATAAATACATATTTTTTCTCAAACATGTGACCCTGTACATAAATTTTGTAGAAAACATATCATGATTGGATGTCCTATTCTATAAATGAATTGTTCAGAAAAGTATTTATGTTATTTCAGTACGTTTGTTATAAATTCATACATCTGGACTGATGTAAACTAATGTTTCAATAAGACACAACAACAAAGTAATATCTGTGATTAGCTTTATTAAGTTTTGTTATAACAATATTGCACAGACAGTCAAAATGCCTTTACATTAGAATAAAAAAGATCACTATCATCTGAACCCATCACAGCCTAAACAATCATAAAAATAACAACAGTCTGAACCGGTAAATTAACTATATTTTTGTTTACATTTGTCTGCATATTGATAACTTACTATGAAACGTTCATACTTAAATATAAATCGAAAGATTTAATGACAATACTGTTTAGCTATCAGTTCTTAGTACATATGACCTCTATTTGATGTAATGGGCTTGTCGTTACTTTAATTTGAAACATACACAATGATCTTACTTTATACTGCCATCATAGGCGTGGCAAAAGTTATCTAGACAAACATGATCAAATTAGGTAGAACAAAAAACACGCTCATTTGTAATAAGCTAACTAACTACATATTTTCAAAGGTATTAAATAACTAATGATCAAAAGTTATATATCAGTACTTAAAGTTATCCAAGTCAATAATTCCTGAAATATGAACATTAGATATCAATTTCTAAATGCAGATAAAACTAAAATTACGATGATTGAAGGTTTTATCTACGTAACATTGCTACTCAGCATACTAATTGTAAAATTTGGGATTTTTTTTAATTTTTTTGGATTTCGGGGTCATTTCCCATTTTTTGTAAACAAAGATATTTCAAAATTTTGCTTTCAGCTAATCAAGTTTTTCTAAACTAGAAATCAAATAATGTTCCCCTTTGAATACAGACACATGCCCTATTATTATATTTAAAATAAAAGTTTAATAACATATTTTTAAATCCTGGGTAGATCTAAAAAGCAGATTTTTTTCCGAGAGGAATAAAAAAGAAAAATAAAATGTATGTAATTATCTTCCTATAAATGAAAAAGTTTTAAATACTTGGGGGATTTCCAGCGCTTTAAAATTTAAAATTACCCTATTTTAATCTTATAAATTTTCTAGTTTATAAGCCATTAAAATTTAAAATTAACTTAGCGTCACCTTATCAAAATGTTGGGAAAGACGACAATTTTTTTCAAAAAAATTATTTTCCCCTAGCGGCACTTGAGCCTCTTTTTTTCTTAAATTACTCAACATTATAGCTGTAACATATTCATACAAATGTACTTTTAATATTTTCTTTACAAATTTCTGTTTGAGATTCATTACAAACTACATAATTGTAATAAATACAAAAAATTCACATCGATTAATGTAACAACAAATTTACATAAACTTTATAAATAACATTTATACATATGTCATTCTGTAACAAGATTTGTTGAGCTTCAATTCCAGTTGGCTGAAAAGCACTGTACACAGCATATAAACATAAAACTCTTAAAGTAAATAAAGCTATTTAATTTACAGACATTTTACACATGTGACGTAACGTATGGGGTATAAAATATAGCCATTTTACAAATATTGTGTTAAACACATGTTTGCATTCAGCAGACAATTAACAAATAAAATACACAAATAAGAATAACACGCTGCTTTCTTTTTCTCCTGTCAAGGCCGAGGGATATGTATCAAGTATAGAAAAGTACACAAGCACTGTGATTCGAACCAATCATTACACTTCTTTTCACAATTTGCTCTGATTTTGCACTCTTAAATAATCGACAAATATCTCGGTCTGCTTATACTCTTTGTTTTCCACAAAGAAATCATCAGTATTGTCAGTAAACTGTTTCACTAAACTTCTATTGTTTCTATACTTCCTTCTGCAGTTCACGGTTGTGACCAGAGTAGAGTCATAATTATCAATTTTTTCCAAGATTTCATTTCCTTTTAAATTGCTAATAATTCAGCGTTCTTGTGGAATTATTTTAGTGAAAGATAAAAAGTACAAAGTTTAAGCATATAAGTAAAGAAGACTTGAGACATTAATATTATGATGTGAACTATTATGCAACAGATAGAAATTTAAAGCGTTTGCCCAAATACTTATTTGATTTTTTTTCAGGGCAATATCTGCAAGAAAACATATGAAAATGACTCATAGTTTACCTTTGAACTGAAAGCAAGGCAAATTGTTGTCAATATAAAGCTTTGGACAAATATTCAAAGCTGAATAAAGGCATTTACAGTGTCAAGCAATACACAAATGACACTTAAAAGTCAAAAAATAGAATATTTATATATTTAAAGACTTTCTGTACAAAAAATAATAATGTTAATTTGAATAATGAAAGACAAAATCAGACAGATTTTACTATATTATAAAAGTAATCTGCAAGAAAAATAAGCAACTATATTCAACTATATTTGATATATTTTTATAACAAAGAATCAAAATACGCACATTTCCGAGGTCAATGACATCATAAAAGCACCATTCGAAAATTAATACTAATTAATATTCAATATACATGTCATGTACCTATTATGTTACCCCATTACTATTGTTCTTTCATTGCCATTTCTTAAAACTAATTTCTACAAATGCCATGTTTCCCAATCGGCAATTTATTTTAACATTTGACCTTTGGTCCAAAATCTTAGTATCTTTATCTACATATATTTTCAGCTAAATTATTTCACTTTTATTTATTTACGCATAATTATGGACAATGGAAACTATATGTGAAATGAACACAATGGGCATTCACCTCCTGAGGTACGTTATTTTTATGAAAATATAATTATATATATATATTAGTAGTATAAGACTCTACTCTGGTCAAGTCTGTTTGCGATGATGATCTTTAATCTCGTTTCCAGCAGCAACATAGGAAAAAACACACAACACAGCGTAACAGATCTGGTCAGCCTGTATAATGAAGAAAAAGTATCATAGAAATTGAACCAGGCAGTATTAGCATGGTAATATGTAACGAACATTATAAGCACAGATCTTCTTTCACAAAAATAATTCTTATTTCAATCAATTCCTCTAAAATTTATCACCAATAAGGCAATTGTTTAATAACAATTTAAACAAGTTTACATACTTAAAATATTTCTTGACAGATATTCATCTTGAAATAATAAATACTTGTTAAAAGTCACAAAACGTCATAAAGTTTTAAGAACATCATATAATTAATAAATACTCTTTATATTATAGAAACAAGATTTTAACAAGTTTGAACCCATTTAAAAAAGGAAAAAAAAGAACGAATGGTTTCATTTACGTGAGTACGGGGGGGAAAAAAAAGGAAAACAAAACTTTATGAGAAAGTCTTCTGCTCAAAACGACGAAACTTTCTTGTCTTTTTTTCTGTTTGTTCTATTTTGGCAACTTGGACAGTTTATAACACGATGTACAGTCATTCCTATTGAATTTGCCTATCCAACAAAATAGGGAAGATACGTAGATACATGCAACAGAAAACAAAAAATGAATACCCAGTGGAGAAATAAACAAAAAAATATGCTTTCTGAGAATGCAAACATAACGTCATAATACAAAGGTAAATAAAACAAGGTTGGATGGTCATACACCTATAATATTTAAAGAATGTTTAAGTGAGTAAATATATGTATATCTATATATCTTTATTATTAGTCCAAGCTAATTTATGATCAACCAATATAAACAATGTTATATTCATTTATTCTTAATGCAATACGTTCTTCATCTTTAAGGCCATGATAATATAAACTAAACTATAATTTTGTTTACGCAAAAGATTCAGAAAAATGCCACTTTCTTTCAAACACTGATGACTTGTAATCATTTTTTAATACTTATTGAAGAAAGACATGTAAGTTCGTATCATTCTTTAATAAAAAAAAAATGTGAAGCACTCTTTAAACAAAATGGACAAATAACATATTCTACAATACTCATTCGTGGTTTCCTAGCAGGAGATGGTGAAACTATTACTGACAGGTTACTATGTAAAACATATAGCACAAATACAAAACAACTAAAACCATTTACGACGGTATATTATCACAAGATTAACCACTCGTATAAAACAAACTTAAATATCCAATTAGAATTCAAACAATAAAACAATTCAAGTAGGAAGGGTTGAGGAGAATTTCAACATGCAACTGGGATAGTCTAGGCATTCATTATATAGTATTTGATCATTACTCACCATACTGGATTGAAAACGGTGCTGAACTACTTGTTTACTTTTGGAATCTGAAATTATGCATTATTTAATCATGATAACATAGGAGAAATACTGTTATACTTAGAAATGACAAGTATTACAAGAAGGACAAAGGTCAAATTATAAAGTATGTTTTTTCTTTCTACGATTTTATACTTTTTTGATTGACAGTTGCAATGTAATAAGGTAAAAATATTCTATTTTGATATTCAAAAAGGAACTGTTTTTTTTTTCATGTTCTTTTCTGATTTTCATAAATGAAAAGCAGTTTTAAACAATCAACCAAACTGACAGACGCATTTTGTTGGCAAAGGTTCATGTTTTACACTTTATTTATATGTAGATCATGTTTATGTGTAATTTTAGATAAAGCATTTGCTATTGTGCTAAAGTTGGTGCTAGGGGCATGAGAGACTTATCATTATCTCTCACAAATCGAGTTTGCTATTTCCATCTGTTCACTATTCTTAAGAACAGAGTTTCAACAATAGCGTGCCTCTGGCAACTAATATTATCCGTGCGACCAATGCAGACCAAGATCAGGATGGCACCTCAGCTCCCTGTTGTCTGATCATGATCAGCTCCGGTCGCCATTCAGTCAGTATTTATTTAGAAAATTACAATGACTAATTTTGTCCAGAATTAAAGACTTGTCAGTCAATTTCAGATATTTAGCAGGGTTAAACACATGTAAATGCAATCTTTCTTTATTAAATATTACTACATGACCAATAGCTATAGAATAATCTATAAAATGTAACTCTCATGAATGATATACTCATATTATTTTTTCCATGAAAGAAAATGTTAACACATTCTTATAAAATACATTGAATGTATTTAGTAACTTAAATAAAGAATAAATTGACAAATTTGGTTGGTACATATTACTTTGCAAACTTACGATGGCTTTACATATCAAATGCAAAATTATGATGAAATGTATCAAATTGATAAAATTTATAATAAATGAAATTTTGAACTAGACAGCAAACGTTTCAGAATTACTTCATTTCACCATCTTTAATACATGTATATTCATTCAGTAAAACCAAATATGTTACATTTTCAATATTTTCAAAATTGGAAGACATTTATTAGCATTTAATCAAGATAAAATAATTGATAGTGCATGTGCTATATAAAATCAAAGTTGGAATTTGCATTTGTCCAATCTACATTGGATCTCATTAATTTCTGTATATATTCCTTCCATGTCATAAACAACATTCACCTCTTATCCTTCTTGTTATTTTTTTATTCAAATAAAACAAGTTCATTGTATAATTAAACAGACAATAATAACTGTTTCCCTTTGCATTAAAATATATATACACGTATTATTTATCAAATTATGAAATATAACACACATTTTTTTTCTTTCTAATAAACTTCACAGCAACCTATTATACCATGTCTATTACATATATAATAAACTTACCTTAAAATCTATGTTTTACAATTTCAATAAAAGCAGACAGAGTTACAACATTTTGTGCAACAACTTTTACAATGTTCTAAACACCAACAAATCTAGAAGTTATTGTGGGAAGCAGTGTCAATAAATAATTACATTGCCAACTTTATCATTTTTTTTACAGAATTTAGATCATACTTTGAGAAAGGATAATTCATGATTTTGATCGATTTTTTTCAAAAGAGAAATATTGATCTGATTTTGATCACAAATATTGATTTGGTTGCAAAAGTTGTAGAACAAATATCACACTAAAATTAACTGCACCACAATATTTGAGCTAGTCTCTTGTCTATACATGTTATTTCAAATTTATATTACATTCAAGTAAGTCATTTCATTTTGATATTGCTTCTTTCACAGTAACTGTTTTCTTCAGAAAGACTGATTCAAATATCTAAGATGCTGTTTTTATGTTTTAAGAATACCATGGTGCAATTACATCCTGACAACATATAACACTTTAAATGTAAATGGCCTTGAAATAAACTGGAACACAACAATGGTAAAAATACATTTTAACATTCTTAAATCTTCATTCAAAAGGTATAAAGAGAAAATACGAGTTGAATTAAAAAAAAAAATCATTCAAAAATTTATATATTCAAAAAACACCATGAAGAATCAAATGGTATCAAGAAAGAATAAAAACAAGAAAAATAAATGTTTGAAATACAAAGTGTCTTATTATCAGGCAGGTTCAAATTTGGAAAAGATAGAGAAGAAAGTTCCAATTTTGACATGCTAAGATTCATTCAGTTCCATGAACTTGGTAAAAAAGGAAATGGAAAAAAATAACAGGTTAAAAATCAAGACCATTTACACATACACATCTAAATATGATAATGGTGCGACTGTGGCAGCCGGTATATACCCTCGTTCTATACTAGCGGAATTCATTGCTTTACGTTTCAATCTTGAAATCTAAAATAGAAAAAAATAAAAATGAAAGAAAAACAAATGACTGAGATCTTACCGAATTCTTCAAGAATAAATATCTCCCCCTTCAAGGTAAAACACTTCTTGATACGATTTAGCTCTATAAACGACTGAAATAAATTAAAAGCAAAATGACTAGGCAGTAGAGTGATGGGGCTACCATACCACTTGTGACGTCCCGGCAAGTGCACAATATAAAAGAAAATATAACAATATCAGTATTTCTATTTCACTGTTATATCACATGTAGAAAATAAATAAACAATAAAAAATATATTAACTGAAATAGCTGATTCTCTTGAGAGATTATTCATTTGAAATTTACTTCTTGCTTTACTTGTATTGTATATAAAGAAATCGAGATTCGAAATTAACGGGAAAAATAAGGCACCAGTCACCGTAATAAACAGAAATCTTTATATTTACTTAGCCAAATTATAAATAATATAAACTTTATATTAGCTTTTATCTAGTGTTTTTTTGGCTTTAATAAAAAAAGGATCAATGAAAAGCAGTTGATAGATATTTGTCCTGGATATAAACGTCCAATTTATTTAAAGTAGCAAAACAGATATCAAAATTTAAAATCCACAAGTGGTATTGTATGAAAAAATACTAAGTAAAACTACGAGAGAGGAAAATGAAACAGATAGCAAAAATGAACAGAATTGCAACAAAAACCAACATAAAGAACAAGCACACTTAGGAAAATGATTGAAATAATAAAGAAGCTCACAAGGTGTCCACCAGCATTCACGTAGTACACTTGCGAACACTCAAAAGTCACATGACAAACATGGTCATGTGACTTTAGAGTGTGTCACATGGTACCATACAATGTACAGAAATAGCATTACCTCAAAATCCTGCACCACAGGGTTGGCAATAGGGAAAAAAGAAGAAGAGAAAGTTAAATGCAATAACAAGACAAACACTATAACCATGCATTGCATATTTGTTGTTGCCGTAGTAAGTAATATTCTATTATATCTGGTTTCATACTAGATTAAATTGCATCTTTATCTAGGAAACAATAAGTACAAAAACAGATGATATGATGAAATTGAAATTAAGAAGTACTTAATTCAACTGTATTTAGAACTTTTTTAAATGCATACAATTTAAACAATTAAAGTTGTTTAGTGTTGTTTTTGTTTTTCAACAAATAAATGAAAACATCTAAACGTCTTATCCCAAAATGAAACAAAATCTCATCTAGAATCTAAAGTCCCAAGTTTTCAGAAATTTCATACAAATATGCAACACAAGGATATTTTTAACTTTCTTTAACAATACTAGGGTAGTTTATTATTAAAACATTAAATAATATTATATGATACTAAACTGCATGATCATTGGAAAATGTGCTTATAAAATGTTAAAACAATTTGTAGTAGAATTATAATGTAGATGTAAGTCACTAAAGTGCAGGTTTTATATATGTATAAACGTCATTACTTACAAGGAATCAATGTGTTTTATTATCACTAATGATTATACAACATTTAATCTATGTATTACAGATAGAACTAACATTAATTCAAGTTGGTTATTTATGCTTTTTTTATTCTACAAGAATTTGTGAACTATATGCTACACAATAGTGTGTTGTTAGTGTGTGAAAGATTTCACAGGCAGTGAAATTTTATGCAACTACCCTAATATTATTTCTATAACAGTGAGCAGGCATCATGCATGTGATCTGAGTACATTGTTGACAATTATTTCTTATTACACTGTCATTATGCAATCAAGAAGATTCAAGGCAATCAAATATTCATTTATAAGATAAGAACAGGCCATTCTAACATTCAATATGAAACATGATTCTACAAACCAAAGCATACATAAAATACACTTGCCTAATGTTATTACACTTTCATACTTTGTTCAATAACATAAAAAAACAATTACTATCCATTATACAACAATCCATTGTTTAATTTCTTGTTAATAAATTTAGAAAAATGCTAAAAACATATTAATGCTTTACATAAAGGTAAGCATTTACTTGGTCTAATTAATCTCTTTTTGTACAGGTGATAAAGATACTAATTTAGTGCCTGAATTTACTGAATCCAAAAAATAATTAAAACCTTACAATGGTGTATAAAAGCAACAGAAAGGTTTGCAGAAAATAAAAATGAAACTATGAGTAATTTGGTAAAATCTTTTTTTATTTTAATGTCACTTAAAGCACTAAAATTCAATCATGACCTTTATACTACAAGAAAATGGAAATTCTTACATTAAAAAATATCTTGATCTTATTGTTTAGGAACTTGACATTGATTATCACATAACTGTCCTATTACTGATATCTAATAAACCTTAATGTTAGGAAACACAATATACATGACATGAAATGGAAAAATTATCAGCAACCTCTGGGCAACTTTGGCAAATATTTGACTGAATCTCAAAAAATATCTGTTTATCACGTTTTTTTTTTTTATTGGTTTTCTTGTTTTTGTTTTTTTTGTAAATGCAGTAAAAAAAAACAACTTAATTTAGGTAAATCTAATTGCCCAAAAGTGGCTGATGGTTTAAGGTTTACAACAAGAAGAACAAAAGCCATGCAAACTGATAAGATATGGGATAACATGCAACATACGCCTACCTTACTATTGGCTAGTAGCAAACCTATGCCTTCCATACAAACTTGTAGTAACCCACCCTGCCCCGACTTTACATCTTGCACCGGAAACTCGCCCCCTAGTTCAGGGCCTGAAAAATGGTATGTGTTATTTCAACGATTTTACTGATCCTTCAGTTGCCTTCCACAATCCCTTTACAAATATTCATAAAGAAGCGAAGGGTGAAAACATCAAATGGAAGAAGAAAAACAAGGTAAGATGGTTTGTTGTTTCTTTAATATGGAAAGGAATTTCCAAAATAGCTTGTATATAACTCAAACTGCCATGCACAAATAAACTAGAGTTTAATCAACGTATAGCTAAATGGAGTAGCAACATATACTAACTGAGGAAACACGATTGAAATTACAGTGGGACACTCCAAAATCAAATGTCCGAATGATTGAAGGTTAGCACTCGAACATCTGAACAATCATAGCCAGTAAATAATAAAAGCACAAAGGTAAAGTACATATAATTAACTGCAGTACAAAACATTGCAAATAAAAAGTAAAAAAAGTGCATAGAAGTTTCAGCAGATAAATGTGTTTTTAAAATCATGTAACAGTTATCAATCAGTGATTAAATAAAATCAAATACTTGCAAATTTAAAATGAATTACAGTACAAACACTTTATAACACTTTGATTTATGAATTATCCATATTGCTTTTTCAGAATAATTTTTCATCATTTCAATGCATGCATATATAAATTGCCAATGATAAAAGATTTCACAGCTTTCATATCCTTGGGTATAAAGTCCAAAGCTCATGATGTGTCATTTTTTTACACTTGTTCTTTCTGTTTAACATCAGATGAGTTTATTATATTGAAAACTACTATTCAATTTTATTTTAGTAATTCCCTTTGGAATTAAGAGCAAAAAAATTAAAATAAAGTGCTATAAAGAACTTGTAATGATTTAAAAGTGTATATCATCACACTAGACTGTACTTGTAAAAGTAATTAAATATCAATCATCACATTCATTAACAGTTCAGAAAAAAGAAGACAAGTATAAACATTGTAAGCGAGGAATGTATAAAGATCACGACCATTCGACATCACTGGACGCTACAGGGCTTACCTTTCTTGGGCTTTCCCCAATCGGCTGATACAATAAGTTAGTAATAATTTAAGTCTTCAAATTATTCAGATAGACATATTTATTTACCATATGTTAAAAGATCAACTTACTAGTATGTTTAAAGATCACATAATTAAAGGCACTGTGCATTTTACAATCTTATTTCCTTTATTACAACTAGTTGATTTTGTTGGTTTTATTAGTTATTCCTTATACTTAAACTCACAGCATTTTTAGGCGCTTTATGAATATGAAAATATTAACCTGACCCAAACTTATCTTTTTTTGTGTGTTTTATTTTTGGTAATTAATTAAATGAAAGGATTTTGGGAATAAAAGCAATAAATAGGAGCAAGTGATTGACAAAAATTAATTCCCATGCATAACATTAAATGATAATCATGATAAAAACCTTAAGCTGACCAGTTTCTATAAAGTATATTCACTTCATTAGTTTACTTAATTAAAATATTCTTATTGACAAACACATTATCCATATTTGTGCTTAACAACATCTTTCTCCTGAGAATTTTTTATAAAATATTTGTGCAGCATCAGCTGATAGACTTGATCATATAATCTTACTGTCTATAAGTATGTTTTACTTTTTGTCATGTCAACAAACAATTTCAAAATTGTAAAAATTTCTAAAGATTGTACAATAATTTTAGAAAACAAAAAATTAAATTTTGACTCATTTTCATAAAATGATCTAAGTTTGTTGTGAAAAGCCTAATTCACCAGAACTTAAATAGAAAACAAGTGTTGTGACATTGTCAAATTTGAAGGGGAAAAATAAACAAAAAAAACCAGATCACATTTCCCCAAAAACAAAAAGTAAAGAAGGACAATATATACTCTGAAACAGAAACTGATCAAGCAAAGTAAAATTGTGGTTTAGAATAAATAATGATGAGATTTTTTTCTTTCCCGTTCTCAAATGTAACCCCATACCCATATTGTATATCATGTATAATTATGGGTATTTCTGTCCTAATTTTATAATGACACCTCATACTCACATTCACCCATTGGCATTACTAGAACTGAAACCAATATCCAACAACAGTCAATTTTATTATAATTCAACTATTTTCATAGTTTGCTGAAAAATTATTATAGCAATCTTTGTTTGGCAATTAAATTTTGTTTGTTTAAATTCAAGTTAACTAAGTATTTCAGTCATACACCTGCAATAATTCCTGGATCATATTCCAGTACTAACCTTTTTATTCTGCTGGAAAAAACAATTACTTAATGAAATTAAACAGGAGATTGAGTTCACAAGTTACAAAATTTATGCCTGACTGTCATAAATATTAAGTAAATATTGTAAAGAGTTAACACGTAAAGATTTAACATCACAAACAAGACAACAAATCATAATGTCACTCACATTACTTAATTTTCAAACGTTTTTCTATATGCTGAAATTATAACATATCTTGTTTTATATTTTAGCATTTGCTTTACATAGAATTAAAAGTATAAGTTGTTTAAGAGAATGAAATCTTTTGAAATATAGGCTAGTGAGTGACCTGTGTTGGTAGCGTATGAGAAAGCACGCTAAAAGCTCTCATGACAGACAGACAGACAGACAGACTGAGACACAGAAAGTGGGCAACACCACATTGGGAGTGCAAGAGAACATGATGTGAAGCACCTGTTAGAAACACTCACCTGGTATCTTACTATTATTTCTCGTAGCTGCCTTCTCCATGGCCTCCTTCACACAGAAATACAACTCTCGACACTGAAATCAATTTTATTTAGTTTGTTTTTCAATATATATTCAAATTTTATTAAGACTCATTGAAACTACTTTACAACTTTTTTGTTTGATGGTATCTTCTTAAAATTATTTTTTGATATTTTTGATTAATTATAACACAAGAAAAAATATCTTTCAGGAGGTAAAATACTATAGCTGTCTAAAGAACAAAACATTTATATGTAACAACTAGCTTAAATAACATTATTTCATAAATTGTTTTTAATAAAATACTGCGATTAAAAATTACCTTGCTTTTCATGATTCAGAATTTGTATGAGAAAGTTTCATTGTTGTACCTTTAACATTACATTTTACCAACTAACAAAACCTTACCTTAACTAATACTGTGAATATTCAGAACAGATGGTATATATTTTGTTTGAAATTAATGTATTTCTATACACATGTTATTATGCTTACCTTTTTAGTATAGAATTGATTGAGTTGTACTTTGTCACCAAGTTTTCTCCATAGACAGAGGACTTTAGTTTTCGGACAGTATGTCATATTGACAAGTTTCTCGTACCACCATCTGTCACATATTGCACCAGTAACACTTCGTAATATTATACAATCATCACATACCTGAGGTAAATTAACAAAATTATTATCTTAATTAAATTACTTTTTTGTCAGGTTTTTATCCATTTTTCCCAGTATTTTCAGATTATTATCCGAGTACAATAAGCCTGATTAATAAGCCTAATTAATTTTACAAGATTATTTTACTGGTTTATAAAATTCAATAAATGTGAATTCAGATATAAGCCTTTTAAATCATAGGTGGAATTTACAGAGGCCTGCTTGGAAGATCAGAAAATCGCATGTGTTTACCTCATTAATTAAAGTCGTTACTTACTTACTAATCAGTTGTCATGGTCACCACAGAAAATACTCAAGCATTACCTCATGATCACAAATTAGTAACTAACACACTATCAATCTACATAATTCTGTATTTTTTGTTTGAATATTTCAGAGATAAAAATGAGAATTACCATTCTGTTCATTAAATGTCATTTTTATGAATTTTGTTTTTTTGAAAGGAAATACATCTTTTATTTCAGCACATAATTCATGCGTGATGGCATGTAAGAAAACTGCCTACCTCCATAAAAAGCATGTCTCCTTTATTATCACTGCCCCAGTGAACTGTAAAAGACTGTTTCTGCATAAAACGACTCCCCATAGGTCGAAGGTCAATATCATTGCCATGCTATTATTCAAATGAAACAAAAATCAGTGAATAACAGGCATAAATGAACAAAACAACGCAAATATGTATAACTTCTAATTGTAAATAAGAAATCTAAATTTCAACATTAAAACCATCAGTATTTATATCATTTAAATCATATACATGCTCTAATTATTCTCTTTTTCTTTGTTACCAATAATATTTGTTACCATTAATGTATCAAACCTGTGTATTTTTGTACAGGTGCATGGTGATTAGAAAAAGTTTATACAGGGGTCCAGAAAAAAAATCTCTACATACAAAGTAAAAATAACTATATACAGAGCACTTAAAAAGAAATTTTGGTACAATTATATTGGTCATCTTACAATCATTTCAAGCTCTGCAATTCAATCTGAAGTTGATTATTTATTTCAGTGGCATTTAATGAATGCTGACATTTTAACCGGCTAATCAATTCAAAAGATATTAAAATCAAGGGGAAGTCAGTAACAAAGACCTTGTCTATATATGTATTAGTCATCTTTTGATGGTGTGAATTAAGAAAAAATATAACTTGCACTTTAAAGTATATTACTTTTACGAGTAATTCTCTATAAGATTTTCCTTGAAGACTGTCTGTTTCTTTAAATGTGAGAAGAATGTAGCATCAGTGTAATGGCTGGTCTCATTACAACAGTACTTACCAATGTTTCAATCTTGTCCAGCAGATTGTTTATTTCTTGACTATAACTTAAGCCCATGTGAGACTTCCCCAGCAGTCTACGTACTTTCTTCTTTATTTCCACCTTGTGTACTTTGGTCATCACCATAAAACTGACCAGATTATACAGCATCACAGATAACAGTTTATCTTCATCATGCTCCAGTCTTTTACGATCACCAGGTCCCAATGAATTGTACCTGATATATAACAACAAAAATTTGTTACATTATAACATAGATCTGACTTCCTATTCTTTAAAAGAAGAGCACTATGTGATGTTAATGCTTGTCTCTTAAAATAAACATCTTTTCAAGCATTTTAAGCTAAAAAGTGGCATAAGTCCAAAAACATAGCTTTCATTATTATGCGCCTTGTCTTACAACTGCCTCTTGTCACAATAACCAAGTATGCCTAGTTTCATATTGATACCTTTAGAATTGTTCATGTAATAGCAAACATTAAAGTTACTGCACAACGACAACAACATTGCAGCGATCATAACCGCCCGAAAATAAGACCTGTCCATAGGACAGCGCACTTGCCTGTTTTTGATGCTTTTAAAGTAAGACACAGCTCACAACTCTGTCAAAAGGTAGTTCACAGTTAAGAGACCTATGCACATCATGTCAGATAACCACAGAGAATAAGCATGTGAAGTTTCAACCCATTCCCTTCAGTAGATTTGAATATATCATCTTACTCACAAAAACTTAACAAAGTCTGATGGCAATGACAACGCCCGAGTGAGTACAATAGCTCTCCCTATTTTCCGAATAGGGAGCTAAAAACAACTGTTTTACAGTCATCAAACACATCATCCGTTATTCTAAAGGCAATTGATTTCTGTTATTATAATCAAAAAAATGTTGTTAAGTTTTATAGAACTGTATTCATATAAATGATCAAAATATGACATAGAAATGTAACAGAAATTATGCATGGTCTACAAATTTCAAATTGTCTTCATTTTCAATTATACAACAATTTTTTTCTTCAAAAATCATCAATAAATAAGAGATTCTGGACCACCAGTATAAACAAACCACCTTATACTCTTGTTAAAAGATATTTTCACAAATTATATGTAAAGGGAGACAACTAGTGTTGCTTTTCATTTCTTTCAGAGTCATTGCTAATGGCACATTAATTTTCAGTTGAACATATGTTTAATTACAAATAAAGTTTTCACTTTTACTATGAGCAAAATGTATACACACATTTCTCTCTTACAGGTTTAATTATGTGACAATTCTATACTGTATTGGTTTTCAGAATATCACTCTGATGTCATTTTGGTTATTAAACTGTCAAATTCAATATAAATTTACCTGTCCATCATTTCTGCTGGACCCTGGTCCATTCCAATGATATCTCTCTCCTGGGCTACAGCATCTAGGTAAACATCTTCCCAAAACTGCATCTGATCCCACAATCTACTCCTCTCCTTGCCTATATAATATATCATTATACAAGTAAATTATTGTTCACATAATTAGGAATTAATTGTTTATAGTAACTATGTTAGTATATGAGCTTAAAAACAGTAAAAAATCTGGAAGAAGTGTGATCCCTCCGAAGCATTAATCACAACAAAATTACATGAAACCTGCAGAATCTGTTTGATTGTACATGGGGGATAATGAAAAAGCGCAACATCCCTCACTGTAACTAGCACCGTCTTGAGCGGTACTTAATTTTTAACACAAACAAGTGCTGGAAGTAAACCTCAAGAATTCATGCCATTCTTAAGAATTAAGAAAATTGTGTTACTCCGTAAGAAAATCATCAACTGTAAAAGGAAAATTTTCTAAACTAGTCTAAGGCACTAACATTATGCAGGGATAAAAAAAAAAACCTCAAAAGTTCAAAAATGCCTTGAATGAAGTACTGACTAGAAGTTAACAAGAAATATCATCAACAATGACTTGATAATATTGTAAAAAGAAATGAAAATCTTACCTATAAGTCCCTCAAACAGGTATGTTTTTGTGACTTCTGGAGTGCCTGGTATAGGGGATGTTGAGATTATCTGACCTTCCCTATACCGTGACCCTGTACTTAAACTGCTTTTATTACTGTATAAACTTGATGAACGACCCTTCTTAAGACTTCCTTTACCCTGTATACATATAATATCTCTTTTGTTATAAAACTAATGTTTTACTGCTATATTTCGTCTTGTTAAGAACTATACTTACTACATAATGTTTACTTTTTTAAGGTAATATTATTAAATTACAAAATTAATATAATTATTTCATAAAGCAAATAAAATACTTTTATAGAAAATCAATTTTATAACTTTTTTATTGGATATCATTAATTAAGAAACTGCAAATGCAGAAAAGTTTAATAAAAAAGAGATTTTAAAATTGTAAATGCAAAGAAAATTAAAAAAAAAATGGACAGCTGTTCAAAGCTACAAATTTTATCAGCAACAAAAAAGTTAGCAAAAATACATTGGTTTGCAATACAAATAAGGCTTCTGATCATAAATAACAATATAGTCAAATTTTAATAATTTTGATAATAATTATCTATAAGCTCAAAAGTATTTCTGTCCAAAAATATTGTAAAACTAACGATGACAAATAAATAGCATTTTAATAAGCTTCTAGTGTCTTCAAATCAAAGGAAATATACTGGTATTTCTGGTGAAATTTGTGTTTCTGATAAAGTTTATTTTTCTGGTAAAATTTTGTAAGATTTGAACAGTGTAAAAGAGATAAAATTGAGACAGGCTTCACATGGGATTGAACCACCACCAACTTGGTAAACATTACTAACCACAATAAATCCAAACCTAATTGCCTCCTTTATACATGCATTCAGAATTAAAATCTATATAAATAACAACTTAGAAAATCTTCATGTAGATTAAAAAAGCAATTAAACCAATTAAAAATATATGGAAATTATAAAAATAATTAAGTGTTTGCTATGGAAGCTTATAAAGGGAAAAAAGCATCAAAAATGAAAACTGAAAATAAGATAATATAGGATAACTTTAGAAACCTACTTGCAATGTACAATTCAGCTGACCTGTACCATTTATATGATGAACTAATGTCTATCTCGGTCAGAGACAGGGCATAATACTAGTTAAACAATAGCACCACATGAAGTTTTGATGCTAGTCTGTTAAAATTTCCAAGTTAAAAAGGGGCATGGTAAGCAAGTATCCCAGGTTTCATGTTGAAGACTTTTTAAATGTTGAATAATAATGGGCTACCTTAAAGTTTTTGCACAACAATGATGACAACACCCAAAACTTGATATTAATAACTTGACTTTTCCTTCAAAAACTAGCTAAATCATAAGATAATTTTTAGTTTTTACAGTTTAGCTAACAATATTTTTAAATTCAAGATACGGCAAGAAGGTTTGTAAATAAAGGATTTTAAATTTTTCTGCACTGCTTTCCATTTGCTGTTTCATTGTAAGAACAATAACTGTTGTTTTAAGGCCTGGAAAGACACAATGAATTTTAACATTGCCTTCAACCTAGTCAAACTAAATCTGATTTTTATGTTTGACTGGGATAACTAGTGGTGTTTTCACAGTGGCATTTTCTTAGTTTGTAAGTTTATCTTTCAAATATCTGATAAAAGATTTACATGTATTCTATTTACACAAATTATCTCCTAAAATCCAAGCTCTATAATCAGAGACATAGCTGCCATACCTGGGATAATATGAATGGCAACTAGCTTTTCAAAATTTTCTTTGTTATGACTCTTGAAACTAGTTTTGTTCTGTCTTCTATCCATATAAATTTATTCATAAACAAATTTTAGTGTGACCTGTGAACAGTCATATGTATTGTAAATCGAGACAGACACAGGGACTACTTTAATTACATTTGGTGTGACCTGTGTACAGTCATATGTATTGTACAATCGAGACAGACACATGGACTACTTTAATTACATTTGGTGTGACCTGTGAACAGTCATGTATTGTACAATCAACACAGACACATGGACTACTTTAATTACATTTTGGTGTGACCTGTGAACAGTCATGTATTGTACAATCAACACAGACACATGGACTACTTTAATTACATTTTGGTGTGACCTGTGAACAGTCATATGTATTGTACAATCAACACAGACACATGGACTACTTTAATTACATTTTGGTGTGACCTGTGAACAGTCATGTATTGTACAATCAACACAGACACATGGACTACTTTAATAACATTTAGTGTGGCCTGTGAACAGTCATATGTATTGTACAATCGAGACAGACACAGGGACTACTTTAATAACAATGAATGGTGACAGGTTGAGGACAAAATTCATGCAAACACAACAAATACCTCAAATTTGTAAAATGATTTCTTCCTTGAAACCACCATAACAACATAACAGCTGAATCCTTTAAATTGTTCTAATTGACTTGCTTTGAATTTGAAACAGTTCATTGTTAGTGACAGGATTTTGATATCAAAAGCTAAAGTTGGTCAGCCATTTCCTCTTAACTTTGTGTACATTAAAGCAGCACAAACATAAGCTCTCATGCTTACATTAAATCATACTTTGTTGCCATAGCAACATGATCTTGTAATATGACAATTCAGTATCATACCTTTAGGTAACATATTTGTTGTTTCGCTTTATATACATACTTTTTTTTAACAAAATGGAACAAAAGAAAAAACAAGACCTGGCTTTGTGAACAGGAACAGACAAATGCCCCCGAAACAATACTTAGGGTATGAATATGTGTGACCTTTACCTTTGAGCAAAAAGCCTTGGGATTGCATAAATACAACATCATGGTGTCCAATACATATATGCCAAGTTACTTTAAAATCCATCTAGAAATGACAAATGACAGGGCACAATGACAGAAGTGTTTTTTTATGAAAATCTCAAAACACAACTTTGGGTGTACAAGTGTGACTGGCATCATAATGTCAACCACATTTATGCCACATTATTCTAAAATCAATTAAGGAATGATAGATGTTGATTGGACACAACCATCCATGCACTTTTATGAAAAATTCATATCTTAACTATAACTTTGACTTACTTAAAATTCATAATGAAAGATTTGTTGACCGGACAAGACCATCAATGCACTTATATGAAAATTCCTTTCAAGTGTAACTTTGACCTTGACCTTGAACCTACTAACCTTGATCTTGCATGTGAGATGTGCTACACATCTGTAAAAAACTATTTCAAATCAATCCGTAAATACAAAATTTGTGGACCAAACAAAAAACTGACGGACAGAAGGACAATTCAAAATCTATATGCATATGCCACCTTATTTGGCACCATATGATGAAGAGAAAAAATTTCCCACTAACTCTATGAACTTAAAGCAAAGAAGCCAATTTGAAAAAAAAAACCCTGCCACAAAGCATGCAAAAAATATCACTTATTTTACGAGAAACACAGACCCCTGATGTCTCGGTTTCCGAGTCCGAGACGAAACCTCGTATAGAATGGTGGTTAATCCTAGAGCGCCGCCTACTTTTATCATCAAGTCCGGTCTTATCGGAAGCAACACTAACCAGAGTACTTGCCTCCGACATGTCTGAATCAATGCTGCTCATGCGCTCGTCCATTTTTGCAGTCTTGATTAAACCTTTGTTTTTTACCATTTCTAACATCACGTCCCTGTCTGCCGGAGGTGATGATAAAGAATGCTGGTGGATATTTCGATGACGGTCATCTGCTGATCCAGTTATTATAATGTCACATTTTTGGTTTGAATTGGTAATATTTCTATTCAAATCAGGACCGGAGTAGCCCTTCAGTTTGTATGGGTTATCATCAGACATGTTGTTATGGACGATCTCAATGTTTTCAAACTCGTCACCATTCACAATCACTGGAGATCCTGAAATAGTTATAGAAATAAACAGCTGTAAACAATTCACAATCACAAGAGATCCTTCTGGAATAGTCAAATAAACAAATAGCTGTAAAAGCATTCACAATCACTGGAGATCCTGAAAAAGTGATATATACAAAATAACTCTTAATCACAACTCAGAAAACAGAAATAGTGGCTTTTAATAATTATTTCTTCTAACATTTATTAGTAAAAATGTTCACAGTATAACTATATAATATTATGTTTTAGTAAGTTACAGTATACAATACCATATATAGACAAAGCAGGGACTTCTAAAGTTAGTTTGTGTATTATTTAGAGTTGTTTGTTCATTCAAGTTTTGATATATAATACTATTATACTTAAATACAGAGTTTTAGCTATTATAAATAAACTACATAGAAAGATTTAGGTACAAAGAACAGTTTATACAGCTAATTCTTACCTTCTTTAACTTTAATGTGTTACATTTTATTACTTTCAATTCTAATTAAATGAAAAACTATAAGTATAAGAAACTTTACATTAAAATATAACCTACATTAATTTAAAGTCAATTCATAATCCATATTAAGAAAATAACAGATCATAAATATAATCCTTTTTTTAAACATTTTCATCATGAGTAATATTTTCAATGAAAGAGATATAACATGTATAACACATAGGAAATGTTAGCACTAACAGTATAATGAAATCAGAGTATTTTTAGTATTTTATAGCATATGAAGCAATCATTGCGGGGAAAGAGAAAAGGAAAAAAAACTGTACAATATATGGGTAAGGAAGGGGTTACTCAGAAAATTATCAATAAAATTATAAAACACATCATATCTAAACTAAATTTTACAAATTTCTTTGCTCTAGTTTTAATAGTTTTCCAAAGTTCTTCAAAATTGGTATCAGGAAATTGTGTGCAATAATTAATTAGTATGGATATATTTCACAAATATCTTTAATTAGTCCTGTATTAAATACATTGTAAATTAATCAAACTGACATTTCCATACCAACTCTATTTCTTGTTAGTTTTTAACCGTAAAACTGCTGAATCAGAAAGTGATGTCTTTCTCACCTGTATAGAGCCAGGCTATTCTGCACATCCATGCAGTCTGACCAGGCTCAATACTGTGGGCCTAACTTTAAATTTTTCACCTTGATATCCCTGATACTGATAATGAACAGTTCTAAAACTGGTAGTTGGGTAAGTGTAGTATCCTAATTCAGCAATGGTTGGTACATATAATACTATTATATAGATCATAACATGTAATTAAAATACATGTAATACAATGGAATAAGAACAAATGATGTTGAAAACTTATATCTTAGTCTACTGGCAGTAATTGATTTCACCCATGCAACCAGTGCAGACCAAGATCAGCCAGCATATCCCTGCTCTGATCATGGTCTGCACTGTCTGATATTCAGTCTGTATATACATTGAGATTTTCACCTAAAAATGAGGAATGGTTTTGCCCAGATTGAAAAATTTACAAGTTCATTTAAGAAATTAAGGTAAGAGTATATGATAAAATAATCACAAATATCTGATTACGGTTCAATATCTATGACAGTCCCACTAATCTATTTGAACATATATATGTTCATTTTAATCCACACTCAATCATGCCTAGTCATTTCCTACCATATTTGTTTTATTTTCAAAACTGACCTCTGAACCCAAAGCAATGAAATTAACAGCAAATAGAAACTGGTTTGTTTCGAAGTGGCAATATACTTTCCGGGAACAATATCATACTTGGATTTTTCATATTTAGGTCAGATTTATATTTTGAAATCCCTCCTTGTGTTACCTGGGGAGCTGTTATGTCTGTGTAGATGTCCGTGCGGGTGCTCAGGGTTCCAGCCGCCATAAGGTAAGGAAGAGAGAGGGGATGGTCTCTGCTGTTGTCCTGTTAGAAGGTGATGGACACAAGTCAGGTACAATCATTATATATATAGCACAAGGATAATAAATCAGGAAAAAAGAAAGCATCTAATAGGCAGATTCATTTATCATACTAAAGCAGAAATTTTTCTCAAGCCTTCAACTGTTAAATGCGTACTATGCAATAAAGTTAGTTTTTTTGAAAATAAAGCAATAAATACACTTTACATGGCACATATATTTATTCATTTTATAATTCTTTAAGTAATTTTCTTTTCAAAGAAGCAGAACTCTTACAATAATTCTGAATTATATTCTATTTTTGCCAATAGTATTTTCAATGGCATCAAATCAAAGCATTCCATACCATGTTGCTCCACAATGCAAGTGTTTTATTCATCTTTAAGGGAAAAGTATAAAGAATAATTTTACCCTATTCCTTCATAATTAAATGTGTACCTGTATAAAACATATTTCAAAATAATGCTTCCTTACATTTTATACATTCTTTTTTTTTTCTTCCGTAAGTCACCTGCTAAGGTATGTGTTGTGAAGTATTTTAATCAAAAGCAGACTGCTTGGTAGAACCACCCACCAACTTTCCACTCATAGCTGGATAGTTACTTTATAAAAGATAATCCAAATGACCTAACAATATTCAGTGTAAGGTAGCTTACACTCAGGAACATTTTCATTAACATTGGGTTGAATAGTGAGATAGTCTATGTAACCCATCACCTTATATAATGTGTGTGTGCAAGAAATGTACCATGTACCATGTACTAAAGGCTGACACCAGTTCTTGTGGAAGATTGGTTAACTGATTATTTTAAATGAAGCATAGTACCTAGAAAAAGTTATTTTTCAAGGAAGCCAATATAAGAAAAGATAAATATTTTAATTTACAAAGCTCACACACAAAGTAAAACACACAATTAGTATTAAAACCTTCAAGTTTATTTCCTTGGTCCATGTCCATAAAATATAAAAAAGGCTGCATGCTTATAAAAACTTTTCTTCTATATCAAAAGACAACATGAAATCATTAAAATCTAACTTTTTTTGTCCAAGAACACTCATAAAACAAAAACATTTCCTAAATAACACTATGATTTCCTGAATACTAATTTCTTTTAAACATGAAGTTCATGCTGTATGTTTAGTAACATAGAAATAAATCACTCATTTAATGATTTATAAATGTAATGATTTCAATAAGTTGTCTTTATGCCTTAAGAAGGTTTAAAAAGTCATTTTGTAACAAAAGGAAGGAAGATCATACCAAGGGCAGCAACCATGGAATCTTCATTCAAACTTTGTGAGTCTGGATTTCTTGGAGAGTTTTCTCCCTTGATGGAGAGACTTTCTTGACTGCCATATGGAGAATTCAGCTACAAAAAGGTTAGTACATATCTCAAACACATGCACAAAACAATCAAATGTTAGTTTGCACCAAAATATTTTGCTCAATTCTCCATTTAAATGAAAATGATAAATATAATTCTTGCAGAGTAAAGTATTCATTTAGAAAATTACATTATAATATTTTGAAAGTAAATTCAAACTAAGTAATTTCTTTGAGACACTTTAAATTATTGAAATCAAAGAAGTAACATACATGAATTTCATATAAAAAAACAAGCCTTACATTAGCACTGGAGTATAAAGTAAGTCATGATATATGCACTGTTTTTTATCATAAAAACATCAAAATAAAAACACACCCCACTCACATGCACAGCAATACATCTTATAATGCTATTTAAGCACACAGCAATTAAGTCGATGTTAGTACAAATTATCTAAATAATTTTTGTTTCATTCATATCATGTCTGTGGCCTGAACCTTTATCATTTGTATTAAAATAAAGTTTATATATCTCTCCTAATCTGGTGTAACCATAGATTTTATAGATACAAACAATGTAATATATTGTCATCTCTAATAAAAGATTCAATCAAAAAACTTTCAAAATTGCTTTGTTTCAATGTTTCAAGAAGTGAAACTAGTCTATATGTCTATGAACATTACAGGACACAAGCTAGCTTTGAATTAAATCCTAGCTTTGCAGAAATTATTTTACCACAACTCTCAGAATCTCTTTCAAATACTACAAAATTTTAATGAATTAGTTTCAGCAAAAGACATGAAACAGTCTCCAAACGATTCATAGCTTTGCAGATATTGATTAACCAGATCTTATGAATTATTACCTCAGGTGTTAAGGAAGTGTCACTTTTATTACTGCCTGTGTGTTCACGTGCCCAGTGATGTGTGTGAGCTATTTCTAGCACCATAAAGGCGCTGGCCATGCCACCTATACCATAGTTCTGGAATGTTGTTTCTAACCCATGTACAAAAGCCTTCAACAATGACAACATACCCTTGTACACAGCTTTTGATATTGCCTGAAAACAAGGTTAAATAATATTGTAATTATTAAGTCATATAGACAACTTAAAAAGTATAATACAATAAATTTATTTATCTGCTGTCATTCATTTACAAAATTACTGCTTGAATTACGAAACAAATACTTGATAAAGATATGTTTGTATATTTACTTAAGAGTAAATGAAACATGCATGAAAATCATTGCTAAGCGATTTAAACCCTACTTAAAACAGCAGCTTGAAAATGTTATTCTGTTTCATGCGTGCCTTGTAACAGAGACATTATAGCTTTATACCCTTTAATAATGATTCAAATACAATTAACACTATCTGTTGTTGTTGTTGTTATTCCCCTTATGTTTGAAAGTTATGTTATAGCAACTAAGTGTAAATGGTAAACAGAATTTCAAAAATTATAATGACAGATGACCAAAAAAAAAATTTCAAAGTTCTCCCTGTAATTATCCTGGACAATGTTGCAGCTTTGCATTCATATGAATTGGTGGGGACAACTCTAATACTTTCTAACAGGTATCTAATTATACTAACTTAGTCAATATAACACCTCAATCATAATGTTAAATGTTCGTATTATTATATTAACATGTGTTAGCCACTGTAGTTAGAATCAGATACACAAACTAAACAACAACAGATATCCCTTTTGACATCAACTTAAACCACAAAGCAATTAAACAAGTCATCAATATTCAATAGAACCAAAGACTATGAAACACCTACCACATCTTCTATATGTACATCATCATCATTGAGTTTCTTGTCTAGATTTTTATTTAATCTACTGATCATGAAGTTACGATAGTTCTCATCTTCTAATAGTTTCTTCACCCTGCCCATCTTTAACCAGCTTATTCCCTGACCTTCTTGAACACTGCTCACCACTTCCTTCAAAAACTGCTGATTCTCACTGTAAACAAATACCATAAAATTCTTACAGTGTTATATATGTACATTATGAAAAAACTTTTCCCACTTTAGATTTTAATCATAGCTTTATGGCCCTTTCCCATTTGACAAATAAGAGACTTGAAAATACTTTAAATCAATTAAGAAACCACTTATTCAATCAAAATTTGTTTTAGAAACCTCAACCTTATTTTGAAAACAAGAAAAATGGAATCCTTAAAGAATGCCTGAAACAACAAAATTGAAAATGTTGCTTAAGCCGGTCTTGAAATAAAATAAGTATTATTTTTCTAGTATCGTGAATTTCTACTTCATCTGTCAATTACCTTCAAAATGATTTTTCCATCAAATTGTTATAATGAATGCACAATGTCAAATACTCAAGCCATTACTATCTTTACAGCTATTTTTTAATCTTTATTTTCCTTAATGTCATGCATGTTAAATAAAGTACTAAATATTGCCTTCTTAATAGCATCAATAACAACATTAACCCTTAGTCTGCTAGCAGCAACTGATTCTACCCATGTGACCAATGCAGACCAAGATCAGTCAACACATTCATGCACTGATGTTGGCTAGTTAGTGTATACATATTTTTTTAATTTTCCTTATATATGATGAATGGTTTTGTCCTGATTGAAAAAAGGATGAGTCCATTTAAGATATTAAGCACTGTAAATCAATATATTTTGTTTAAACATCAGATATTAAGCCTTCAATATTATGATATCATTTACTGCTATTTTTTAGCATGGGAATGCCATGTTATTATATTATTCTTCTTTCCTTTTTTTTTTTTCTTTTTTTATGTAATTCTTCATTATTCTAAGAATCTGAAGATTATAGAAATGCCATTTATACCAGAAATTCAGAACATGTTTGATTTAGATAAAAACTGGGTTAGTAGAATATAAACAAGCAATTATCATAGTATTGCAAGCAATCCATAAGTCCCCTACCGGTAAGAGCCCAAGCAACATTCTGAAGGGCCATTGGCCATTCACTTATGTTTCTATTTTAAGTAAATTTGTTGAAAAAGTTCTTTAAAAGTGATCACAGTGAACAGACAGACAGACGGACTAAAGGACAGTCTAAAGTTATTTTTTAAACATCCCTGTTATCAAAATATAACATTTTAAAAGCAAAATTTAAAAAAAAGGAGATAACGATGTCATACATGATGTGATTGTAACAAAGAACAATTAGTAATGAAGGTATGAATATTGAATATTTATTTTGAAATTGAAGTAAATGAAAGTTAAAAGAACAAATAGGAAAAATTAAAAGTTTAAGGAGGAGATAATTCTGGAAATATGGATGCTAGATTTATAAACCTTGTCATATTATAATGATGTGGGAGTTTGAAGAAAATTCTATCATGATTGAAGAAGTTGGAGTAAAAATTACCAATTTCTCAAAAAAAAGTCTAAGTTCAAAAGGGGCATAATTCTGGAAATAGTCTTGCTAGAGTATTGAACACTCACAAATGTTGAGTGATAATAAGAAACTTTATATGAAGTTTGAAGTAGATACGTTCAGAAAAAAAGAAGTTATTAAAAAAAAAACAATTTTTTTTTTTCATGAAAATTTTAAGTTCAAGGGAGGTAATTTTGATAAATTTTGTGCTAGAGTTGTAAACTTTGTCACATATGATGTGGTTGATGACTAGCAACTTATTTTTAAAGTTTGAAGAAAATATCTTAAGAAATAAAGAACTTATAGTGAAAAAACTTAAAAACTAGAATCAGAAATCTTGAAATTCAGTCTATTTGTTGCCATAGCAACCAGAATTTTCAACACAGGAAGATAAGAAAAGGATGTGCATAATTTCCATACTGCCATCTACCCATATGTCAAGTTTCATAAAAATATTTTCAATACTTTTTGCGTTATCACTGGATCCAGGTTATAAGTAAAATCTGCCATATTTTCAGTCTATTTGTTGCCATAGCAACCAGAATTTTCAGCATAGGAAAAAAAGAAAAAGACGTGCATAATCTCCATACTGCCATCTATCCATATATCAAGTTTCATAAAAAAAATTTCAGTACTTTTTGCGTTATCGCGGGATCCAGGTTATGTGTAAAATTTGCCATATTTTCAGTCTATTTGTTGCCATAGCAACCAGAATTTTCAACATAGGAAGAAAAGAAAAAGACGTGCATAATCTCCATACTGCCATCTATCCATATACCAAGTTTCATTAAAATATTTTCAGTACTTTTTGTGTTATCGCGGGATCCAGTTTTGTGGACGGACGGACTGACGGACGGACAGACGGACGGACGGACAGACAGACGGACGGAGGGTAAACCTAAAGTCCCCTCCGGTAAACCGGTAGGGGACTAATAAAAAATTGTTATGCAAGCTTCACAAAATAATCTTTTTATAGTAGTTTCCGTTCATTGACTGTCTGTACTTGGATTTAATTACAGTAATTTTAAGAGAAAAGTAAATATCAAACCATGTTAAATTGAGATATATGAGACATTGATTACTTTATGTTCTCCATTCACAAACATAAATTAAGACAAATCACTAAGAAATACCAAATATCTAGTATTTAAAAAGCTGGAGAAAAATAACATTTTATTTTTTGTAATACAGTAGAACTTCTATGAGTTGAACTTCATTTAGTCAATTTTCTCTATAATAATTGTCGAAGTAAAATGAAAGTCCTGATTTATTCCCCTATATATTTTTTATATAAAACCTATACATGAGTTCATATTTTTACGTAATTGAGGATTAGAATATATAATTTCATAACATCAAAAGTCAAACCTGCCATCCTTTGCTTAATTTTCTTGGTCTTAGGTTATCAAACTCAATAAAACATATCAGAAATTCTTATTAGACTATTTCTGTTTATAAAAACAAGAACATGTTGCTGCACTAAGAGTGAAGACATCATTATGCTGAAATTTAAATAAATAACTACTACTTCTTGTTCATGTTTTGATATTTAAATTTATGACTTATTAACAGAATTACCTGTTGGAAGAACCTTTTGTTTCATTTGCCTTCTGTTTTTCTTTGCTAGTTGGTTTTCTGTTAGTGGCATGCTTCACTAAACCAGACTTCTCGACTAGAGCCTTTCGGTTGCCTAGGGGAGCAAATGGTTTAGGTGTAGGCTTCTGGTGCTGAGGGCCAGGGTTAGTGATAGGAACTGGGCTCGTACCTGTTTTAGAACCTGGAAAAAAAATGAAAACAGTAACATGTACTTAATCTAGTCCAGTAAAATGCATAATAATTCATATCAATGTCAAAATAAACATAAAAATAAAATTTCATCAGATACTATTTAACTCTTGTCTTTTAATTACAGACAAAATCTACAAATGAACACAAGGAGAGTGTAGTATAATATTTGAACACATGTCTATGAGAAGTGTTATAACAAGAGCTGTCCGTAAGACAGCGCGCTCGACTTTTTTATTGCTTGCCAATAAAAAAAGTTTTTGCAGTAAAAGGCAATACAAGAATCTCTGTATTTTTAAAGTGAACAATGGCCATGAGCATTAAGATATTTAGTGAAGAATTATTTTACTGAATTGTGTGATACCCTTGAACACTGCAGCAAAGTTTGAAATGTTTAAGTCAAAAGAGGGCTGGTAAGAAAGAAAAAAAAACTGAGTTGAGCCTTAAATAAATTTAATAGTATTAAACCCACTTTGAGAGAATAAGGTATTTTTACGTCACTCAGAACACCTTGGTAAATGACATATTCCAACTTTCAAATTAATATCTCAAACAGTTCAGTCAAAAAGTGGACTGGTACTAAAAACTTAACCAAGATTCTAAGTCGATAAAAGGCCTTAATTTTTAAAACAAATCCTTGACAGAGTTACCTTCTCTTGCGTACAGATGGGGGTAATGAATGTGAAATAGCATTAAAAGTTTCAAAGCAATATCTCAAAGGGTTAAGGCAATAAGTGGATTTTACCCATATTCAATGTATTTTCTAAGTCAAAAAGGGGCATAATTCTGTCAAAAACCTTGACAGAGTTATGTCCTCTTGTCTGTTGATGAAGGTCGTGATGGTAAACAAGTATGGTCAGTTTCAAAGCAATACCTCCAATGGTTTTGAAATAAAGTGAGGTGGTACAAAAAACTTAACCAAGCTCAATACACTTTCTAAGTCAAAAAAGGGCCATAATTCTGTCAAAAACCTTGACAGAGTTATGTACTCTTGTCTGTAAGATGGAGGTTATGATGGTGAACAAGTATGGTAAGTTTCAAAGCCATACTTGTAATACTTCTGAAATAAAGTGGGGTGGTACGAAAAACTTAACCAAGGTGGGCGAGTAGGATAGCTCCCCTTTTCATAGAAAAGTCGAGCTAAAAATTCACCATATCTATTATACATCCCTGTCTTCCAAAATATAGAGTCTGCGGAAAATCATATATACACCTTATGCTACTTTTAGACAAACAGATTATTTTTCATATAGGGTTATAGGGAGTACGTTTCAAGTTACACCAACTCCATATAGGTTATATGGCTAATTCCAAGTATAACTGATGAAGGATGACTTCACAAGCCACTTTGTGCATTGTTTAGACAATTTTTTTTTTCCGATTGGGTTTAACATTGAACCAACATAGGTCATAACCGATAGGTCATAAGTCAACTTTCCAGCTTTACTGGTGAACGACGACTTCAGGTGCCCCTCTTTGTGTTATTTCAGGCATAAATGGCCAATTGAGTAGAACCACAGACTTTCTGTAAGCTGCTGTATATCTTTCCTTCATGAAAACATCCAAAGACGCTTGTGTAACTCGAACCAACAGTGGTGAGAGTCAAGAGGTTTGAAGTAAACAACATTAACCACTCTGTCACAGACACCTCTTTCTTGTTTAGACATAACACAGACTCTTTGGTAGTTCCATATACTTCTATACTTTTTAAATAATCTAAGAATTTTACATTCCTAACAGAACATAAACCCCTAGCAAAGGGAGTTTCTTAATCAATAAAAACTACAAAATAATAAGTTAAAAGATGAGTTTTGTTAAGACATTCTCTACAATAGGAATAAAGTATGACATTTTATAAAACAAACACTATTATACTACTGCACATTTTACAACGTCAATTTTCATTGGATAATCAAGATACATGTATTTATAATCTTAAGTTGATGTAGATTCTATGAATAAATTTTTATTTTTTCAAAATTGAAATAAATTGTGCAGTATTATAAATTATTTATAAAGACTTTTGACATGTTATTTGGCCTTGTTGTTATAAAACCTCACCTGGTTATTTTTGGGGTGCTTTCAGCCATTCATACTGGCCTATATAATCAGTCAAAAATCTTTATTACTTAAATAAAATACAGGAAAAAAAGTTATAGCTGTAAGGATCTTAGTTAAAAGTGAATGTAGATTTCAGGACAGGGAAAAGATGAACATAGTTTTCACTCCTAAAAAAAATAGTTTCAACTACATGTACTCACTGTGATGTTAATAGAACAAAATCTTCCTACTCAGATTTATTATTTTTACAGAAAAGTAATTATTCCCTTTAATTAATACTGGAAAACACTCTAATTAATGCTGAAAACAATTAAATTAATGAATTTCAGAGACAATAACAATAACCCTATATCAAATTGCAGACATTTCATTTTCTCCAGATTTTCAAATTTTATGTTCAGATGAGAGACTGATGGAATCTATATTGTCTAAATCCGTAAACTGAGCAGGCTGATTTTGTTTATAATGCACATTACCTTTGTTACTAGATAATCCTGTTTAAACAAATTGTGATATTTAAAGTTTAATAATAAATGAATGACCGTGTTTAAACAAAGTGTGATATATCAAGTTTAATAATAACCGAATAACTCTGTTGACAACAAAGAGTGGCAATTATATCAATGAATAATGCATTTCTTTACCTTGTATATCATTATTATTAACATACTTTCAATATATCAAAATATTTATGTACTTTATACAATACATAACCATTCAGTGTTGATTTTAAACAGTATTTCTGGCATATATACTGGCATGTATTTTTTCTATTCTATGCTTTGCCAGTAACTGACAACTGTGAATAGCTACACACAGTGACACTATATGAACTGCCTAGGTAAACTGTCATCCACTGAATTGTTACTACTTCTTATTTATTATAAGCTATCTTGGCTGACTTTCAAAGCAGTAAGGGTTTAATCAATATAATTTCCATATCTTGAAAGTACTCTTCATATAATAACAGTTATCAATATAGCATTTATACTAAAATATTAACAATACATTACAGCAGGGGAGGTAAATCTTATAAATACAAAACACTAACATGCATAGATCCATTTAAACAGGGATATCATTTTAATTGTATCAAGAATACACATACATGTAACTATATTTCTTGCATATCAATTTGATGTGTCAATGTTTGCACAGGTGTTGGAAATTGTCATCACACACCTGGTGTGAGTGAGACCGTTTTATAAATAAGTCGCTTACATTGAGTGATGACATTAGGTCATCATTAATAAAGTAGTTAATTCATACAATAGGCTAAATAAAAGTATTAGTTTTTTATTATTTCTTCCGAACAATGAAAAATATATATATGCAAGAAAAATAATCAAACACTGACTGCCTGTACAGACAGGAATATCAGGCTCTTGGGAGAACCTTGTTACCACACTTTACAGTTTCCCTTGAGCTGGATATTGTTATCTTCACCTGCAGCCAGTGTAATATTTATTTATTTCATGCTTTCCAGTGTTTTATTGTAATATATCAGATGATTATATTCTGATAAACCACAAGTGAAATTTATAAAATATAATTTTCACTGTAGCCGAACTATATCTGAATGCGGATGAAAAGAAAATCATAACTAAATGGAATAACAGGCAAAAATAAATGCCATCATGCGTAAATTTTGCTTCTTTAGGAAAAGAAAGTCGATGTCACCATACATCATGTTTAAAATGTAACAAAGCTCGAGAAATTTAACAGAACTATATTTCAAAATTGATGATGTGACGTCATGATGTGATGACGTCAAAAAGGAGAATGCGCGACGTTACGCGGCAAAGTCAGTAAAAAAATACTTAAAATCACTTAAAAAGCATGAAATAAAAAGAAAATTTATTTGTTTTACATATAAGATTGAAATATATTTCATTCGTGAACACCAGCTATTATATTTTCACTCGTGGCTACGCCACTCATGAAAATATTGCATCTGGTGTTCACTCAGTGAAATTATATTTCAATCTTACATGCAAAACAAACAAATATCCTCTATATAATATTGACCACACATCACAACAATTGTTTCTCGTACTTTAAGCCCATTTTGTTATCAAAGTGTAGTATTAAACTCACCCTATGTAAAGATACTTACCAAAAAGCTCTGCAAAAGTACTGCTAGCATTGTGAGCAAAATCTGTCAAATCGCTACTGAGAGTTGAGATGAGAGAGGAAGGGCTCGCACCTCGCTCAGACCCGGCTGACTGCCTGTTCTCTGTACCATCTAAAGGCTGAAAATTATATACAATACTGACTGAAACTACAATGTTTTCATAATCAATTATAACATCAACCATTATAATTAATTTTCTAAAGTATTTAACCATTAATCATCTTTAACATATCAATTACGATAGGCAAATACTCGCAATAATGATAGGAAAATAGTCGAGGCATAAAAGTCCCCATTAGTTCTGATTTTTTTTAAATCAACTTTACAATAATACAATAATAATAATTTCAAAATGAATTCTTATCTTTATCCTTATTCTACATTATATAAAATAATAAAGAATGTTAATATATAGGTGAGTGAATATATATATATGTATGCTACAAGGTTGTCTTAAAATACCTTATAGTATTAACAGTTATACCAAGGTCAATTTGCAGATGTTACATTTTCAATAACTGTGAAACAACAACAATGTGTGTCCAATGATTTTATAAATGGCAGTTAAATCTGACCTACATATATGTATCATACCTATAGATTTGTTTTGTAAAGTCTTGATGGATATTTTGTTTAATGGATGCTTCCCATTTTAGATTTAGAACAAAAACATTCAAACTACATCAATTAATCAAGCATATGAATGTAAAGTGACTGTATAGTGCTTTGTAAATTTGAATTGATGTGCAAGCTCACATCCCATGTATCATTACAGTGGTAAAAGAGTCCTATTATCTCCCCTTGACATTCAATTTGTATATTGTTTATCAACATTTCATCATTATGATGACACATGGTCACATGTTTACTTGACATAATTCATCAGCTGATTACAGGTAATCCAGGTAACAGCTTCTACTCTACAGATAGCTAAATTTTCTCTTCTTATTTATGTAGATATATCCATCAATACAAATGTTTTTATGTTGAATGTTGAACACCTCTATATGAACTAAGAATTAATGATATTTTAAATCTGAAATTCATTCTTTTAAATATTTCAAAGCAGTATTGGTACGCTTTTACTCAGAGTAATTTTTATATAAAGTGCCAAATAATTCCTCATTATTATTTTACCTGAAATCAATTAATTCATTTTTTTGTTGTTGAAAATTTGAGAAGTATTGTTGTACTAATACTAAATGTGTTTATATTTTACATATTTATTCCTCATTAATTACAATTATACCTAAAACTAACTAATTCAAATTTTCTTAATATAATTTACCAAAGGAATAGTCTTTGAGACATTTAAATTTTTTTCAAAAACTTATCATTGCCATTAAATTTAAACATATGAGTGTAAGGAAACAAACAACTTTATAAAAGTTTCTATGGTAATGTTTAACTATCACGACTGAAGAGAGTATTTCACCTCATCCAAAAGCTATGGACAAGCATCCTTGTAACTTCCTCAGTTGAAATTTTACAAACCTAAACAATATAACAATGTGTTCAATATAGCAAAAACCTGATGGGCAACAGTCTTGATAATAGAGTATTCTACCTTATCAGTCTAGATATTGGAGTATATTACCTTTGTTCCATTTTTGTTTGGATGTAGCATGCTCAATGATCTAGGTACAGTTGGTCCACCTTTACCACTGTCCTGACTTCCTTGGCTACCCTGAGATCCAAACCTCTCTCGACCCATGTTTGGACTGGGAGGTGGCACCCTTGGGAATCTTGGACTTGGAGGATTTAAGTCTCTAGGGCTTCCTGGGGTTCGATCTCTTGGACTTAATGGAGGTCTAGGGCTTGTTGGCACCCTTTAAATACAAAACATGAAAAGGGTTATTTTTAATTGGAAGTACAAAACTCAAAATGAAATCAGATAAAATATATAAAAATTTGTGTTACTGTATAATATTCATGAACACAATATTCTCACCTATGACTTGAACCAGAAGGCAACCTTTCCCTAGGACTTGGAGGAACTTTGTCTCTAGGACTGGGTGGTTTCTCGTAAGATTCAAATGCAGAATTTATGCTCTTGTTGAGAGGTTGTAATGGAGGTCTTGATCGACCTGGGGGTGGGGGACTGCCTGACCCACTACTGTCCTGACGACTGTAAACAAATAAGCTCAACTGGTTACTACAGGTCCAACAGTGTTGCCTCTTTAAATAAAGTCTTTATTATTATTATCAGCCTTTAAGTTATCAACTAACTGCACAAAGGCCAAACTTATTTTTCTAAAGTGTAATCTTTAACTTAAGAGATTGTCAAAATGAACACAAAATTTTAAATCAAATGAAAAATATTTACCTTATAATTCTGTGTCTGCCAGTTGGGGTGATATTTCCTGAATCATATCTGAACTCTTTTGATGGTTCCTAAAAAATAAAACATTCTGATTAAACAAGTTACTATTATTAAGAAATGTTTTAGAAACTTAAACAGAGTTAGCAGCAACATCTTGCCCATGTCAGTTTTTTCATCTTCATAATCATAAATATAGGACAAAATTGCCATAGAGATATCACCTTATACCCAAATAGTCACACGCTAAACTCTTCTGCTACACCAAACATCAAAAGTTTCGCACTCAAAAGAACCAGATCAGTATATCGAATGCTTTCCTTTAATGAGCTTACCTTGCTGGTATTCAATGCTCTGGCATTCTGTATTACAAATGCTGATTCAGCACAATTTTATAACAAGATATCAATAGATCTTTCATCATTTACAGACTATATAAAACTAATGCACAGGAAGCAGGCAATATCTATCAGAGAAAGAGCATAAACAAGTTTAGAGAGAGCAAAATCAACCTTTATATAACATCATTTGATGAGAACTCTAGTTTTCATACTTGTAGTAATTATGTTATACTTCATAATAATTGTTACGGGACAATTCATCTAGGAGAGACTGAATATGTTTTAAGACATTAATGTATTTCTGTAATGTTTTTATCAAACAGTTTTAAATAATGCCTTCCTGATAAAATCATTCCAGTAATAACATTAGCCACAAACTATATACCCTAAGAAAATGAAATATCTGAAATAATTAATTTAATGAATTTGTTTGCCTATTTTCAGAGTAAACCCCGTTTTAAATAATGTAAAAAGTAAAGCAACACCTCTAAGCAACCATAATATCTGTTATCTAAAGGGTGTCTTACTGTGCTAATTAGTTGAAAATATAGACATTGTGGCAGTTGACTTTCATACACTATACTAAAATGGTAATCAAAACAGTGTTTTATATGTATTTCTTATATGTTGAGGTGTAGTTATGGTATTATGCTAAGAATACATAAAAAAAGTACAACAATATTCATTATTGATTTAATTTTCAAGCTACACATATAAACTAGAATACCACCTGCCTTTATTTTATTTTAAGGCCACACATAATTACTAAAATACCCACTACCTCTTTTCAATTTTCAGGCCACTGCATGTCAGTTAAGTTTATTTCTTTAAGCTAACCCCTTGTGTCATATTTTATCTTACTCAGGGTATATTCTGCAATATATCCCGTCACTAACTCATTTAACTAATGATAATAGCAACTGAGTTATTTACCATTTCCTGTATATTAGGATTAGATACAGCTAAGGAGTCAGGTTCCGGGGCATATCTCGGACTACTGGAGTACGAACTATCGGATGAATCCCCTCCATCATCATCTTCACTGTCATTCTGTGAGTGGGCGGAGTCACTCATTGGTAATGATGAATCAGGTAACTGTAATCTGTCTGGTGGGTTGTACACTTTCGATTCATCTACTGCTAAAACTTGATTCTCTGGCAGAAATGCTGAAATTATACAAATGATTATGAAAAAATTTCAAGGGTAACAATCTGTACCACACCACCGCAAATGTTTGAAAAATAGAATATCTTTTGATCTTAACAAGTGAAAAAAATAATTTACTTTATTTTAAATTTGACTGTTCATTGTTAGGTGAATATCCTGATTGATCCACATAAAAATAGCACTGCATTTTAAACAAAATCAATCTGTAATGACAGCCTGATCATGTTATCTTAACCATAGGTACTTTATGAAACAGGAAAATCTTACATGGTGTATCTCCATCTATTTCACTATTCACCATGTCAGTAACAAAGTCACTGAGGGAAGAGTAGGAAGATGATGTTGATTCAGCTCCATCACTGTCACTACCACTTTCATCTGAAAAATTCATGTAAAATATGTATTAAACTATCACTTTCATCACCACTTTCATCTGCTAAATTCATGTAAAATATGGTTTAAAATATCAATGTCACTACCACTTTCATCTGCTAAATTCATTTAAATATGGTTATTACATATTCATCTGCAAAATCTGTAAAATATGGTTTAAACTTTCACTGTCACTTTCATCTGCAAAATTCATTTAAAACATAATTTAAATGCTGTCTTTTGTAAAGTTACTGTAAAACAATTACCATGAATTTCTTGGCAAAATTCATATAAAACAAGTTTCAAATAACTAATTATCACTTTTTATTCAATAATTAGCTGTCTTTAAATAGTTTGGACCACCTTTTGGCTATCAGTCTGGCCACTTGACAACATAATTGTTATCAAAAAAGCTTAAATATTGAGATACCTTTGAATTTTAGCTTTATCTAAAATTTTGTTATATTGTTTTATAGACAACTTTATTCTATGCTTTATTCCAAAAGTCTCAGATTACTTTCAAGCTTTCATTGAAACAGTCTCTTAACTAGATTGCCACATTTTTCACAAAATTTTCATGCAGTATTGTTTTTGTTTTTTTTATTTACCTGTAGGATAATCATCACTAACAACCTCTGTTGCTGAACTCAGTGCTGCACCAAGTGATGATGCCTCATCATAAACACGAAATGTTATTGGCTGTAACTGATTGGCGTACCATTTGGCCTTGTCCCCTATTAGGAGTGGATCAAACACAGATGTTTGTACCCGTAGAAATGCAACATTCTGTGGACATAGTGACCATTCTCCAAAATATTCCGTTGCCTGTAATGATAATGTTTATATTATTCAGCATTTTCATAATTAAAGACGTTATGACTAGACTGAATTAAGCTGTACACATTACCCTTCATTTACCAGTTATATGGCCAGGTTATATGACCAGTTAATATGGTCAAGTATGAACTGTTGAAAGCTTAAATAACCCGATCTGTAAGAACAGGATAATAGAACAAACAGCAGTGTAACATCACATTAAATTGTATCCAATGAAAATCAATATCACAAAATGTGCAAAACTGTCACACTTTACCCCTATCAAACAGAAGATAGGCCAATCAATTGCATTATTACAAAATATATGCAAAGCATATAAATGCTTACATGTCATATATGACATCAATAAACCAAATGGTGTCAGGAAAATTACTTGTACGCTCAACATAGTTGAACATGTTTTTATCAATTCTTTATCTAATTAGTATGTTAGAATGGAAACAGATATTAATTTTTCATGCATTATAGTATATTAATATTGCGTTAATATATTAATTTTTCATGCATTATAGTATATTAATATTGCGTTAATATATTAATTTTTCATGCATTATAGTATATTAATATTGCGTTTAAATGCTTTGTAATTAATCATTCATTATTAATTTTTCATGCATTATAGTATATTAATATTGCGTTAATATATTAATTTTTCATGCATTATAGTATATTAATATTGCGTTTAAATGCTTTGTAATTAATCATTCATTATTAATTTTTCATGCATTATAGTATATTAATATTGCGTTAATATATTAATTTTTCTTGCATTATAGTATATTAATATTGCGTTTAAATGCTTTGTAATTAATCACTCATGCCTATCAACCTTTGTGATTATATTCCTGGGTATTTGAACTCAAATTATTCTACAACAGTACACACAAAATTTATATCTATTTCCTAAATAGATTCTTTTAACAACAGTGAAAGGAAAATATACATGAGAAATCATTTTGTTTGGAAAGTCTCAAGAAATTGTATGGATGTCTCAAATGTAGCATGAACGCAATACACATGTATAAATCTCTAATATGATGGTGATTATTCATCTGAAAACAAGTATCATTTTATGACTTTTCTATACAAATAGTTGACAAGGCATTATGCAAATTGAAGGTTGATTATTGTAAAAGCTTAAAGTACTGGTTGAAATGATGATCTCTGGATAATGCAAATATTCTCAATATCTGTCATAAAATAGAGATTAAGTATCAATTCTTGACAAGTAAAGACTGAATTACATTGCAACCTGAACTATTAATGGAAATTTAGAATTTGCTTTCTAAAAGAATAAAAATACAAACACATCCTTGACAGACAGTAGTTGACCACAGATTAATTTTCTCTGAACTGAAACCAAAAGAGGGTGCACCAAACAAAACCTTGACTTTTATACCATTTATATAAACAACATAACAAAAACTGATGTAAAAGCAGGGGAAATTTCTTTTCAAAACAATAATGATTATAAAATGCTTGTAAATTTGATATACTATTAGTTATAAGGATGCCTGACAGGTTTATATGGCTCGGTATGAATGGTTGTAAGCTTAAAGCCGCTCAGGTTATATTGCAAACAACCATTTATGCATGGCTATATAACATATCAGTGATTTTTATAAATAATTTTTAATACAGAATTACTTTATTTGAAGAAAAAAAAAAGAGAAAATTTCTTTAGCCAAGTACATAGATTTTATATACTACATCACAATTATTCAATGAAAAGCAATGTTACATTTTGTGCCCTATTAATAAAGCTCACTGATAGTAGTTTGAACTGTTGGAGCCATTTTAAATACAAGAGATTTATTTATAAAACAAATCAGCCACACTTAGTTCATCTTAACGTGAAATCCCTGCTTGCTAGTGGTAAAAGAACTACCCTTTCAACCAGTGCAGACCGAGACCCCCTTGCACATCCAGGCCATCTGATCATGGTCAGCACTGTTTTTATTCAGTCAGTACTTGTTTGAATATTTCCATACGAATAAATGATGGCTTGATGGACAAGTCCATAAATGGTATTAAGCATGAAATGGGTTGAAATATTCTAGGTAAGAGATTATATCCCCTATTTTTGTAAGAGCAACACTTCAACTTACATATTGTAACCATTATTACAAATAGCATACATCCGTCTTACCTGAGTTTTAGCCAATCTATGGGTAAAATGTGTCTTGACTGGTCTAGATTTTAGGAAACTATACAGCTGGAATGCTACAACAGGTCTGGGATACAGTCTGAGTGTCCTTGTATGCTCAGAAAAGTTACCTAATGTATTTGCTGAGTTGAAGAATCTCACCTGTAAACAATTAAACAAAATGTTCATATGTATTCATCCCTAATTATCCCAGAAGAAATTAACTTTAAACTTTGTCCCTTCCTGTTCCTCTTAGTACATGCACTTGAAAGATGTTAAATGACAAATATTTTTTCTTTCCCATGCAAAATAAAATTACCTGAAAAATAATGTCATTGGGTGAGGTAAATGTAAAAATGCCTTTATGAAAGAAAAACTGTAAGTACAATCACTTCACTAGCATCCTAAGGTATTTAATACATTAAATTTATTAGAGGTAGTCAACTTGCTAAACACTTGTTGCCTGGGTTCCGTCCAAATGGCTAACTCTGCTTGAAAAAGTATTTCAGGAAGGTATGATGGAGATTTTTTAGTCTTCCTCTTTCAAGAATGCTAATTATAAGCCAAATACTGTGCAGGCATTATTTGAAACCCCAAAACGTGAACAAGCAAAAATCATTTTTCCAATTAAGAAGCCTGAGGTAGTAATTGGAAAGCACATGTCACTTGCATTGAATAAATTGCAATATTTCACCAAGGACTTGAAATTTCCTCTTGCTAATTTGAAATAATTGTGCAAAACTGTTTTTATTTTTTTTAATACAAAGAAAGCCTGCGTTGATTTAAGAAAACTCAATAACGCAGAAACCTGTGCACTCAATCACAGTTTTGCCAATTTTCTTTATAAAACTTTCACCCTTTCCATCAAGTTTGCTGCCAATACAGATTGAAAACTCTCCCTTAAATTGAACAATTAACTAGAAATATTATAGGCTTCATGGAAAATTATCCAGCAAAATTAGAGCACACACTAGTTGTTCTTTAGATTTCAACATCTGACAGCAGTAATGAGAAAGGTTTAGAAATATAAAACTTTATTTAAAACTTGCCAACATCTTTAGTTCATGCATTTTCTTTTCAAATAGTTGTAAAGGTGTAATGTGCAAAGCTCTTATGTATAAAGCTGAAAAAAATGTAGCTTAGCAAATTCAGCAAAAGTGTACCATATTTCGCAGCCAAATTTCTACAAATAAATCTCAATATTTATAATTATGAATGACCAAAGGCTTCAGATTTTTTTCTATAAAGATCTAAGATTTGATGTATAAAATAATAACTTCAAATCTGTAAAAAAGCAATGAAAATACAATGCAGTCAGACCTTGACATACACAATCTTTATAAATGTGAAATGTCACATCATATTAATTAAAAAAAACTTTTACACAGTAATCATCATCATGACAATCAGCACAGAATTAATAAGAACATTTGGTTTACAACAAACAGTATCAGTAATATATTACCATGGCAACTCGAGTAGCAACATCAACAGAATCTACATCATTGCCGTAAATTAAAGGATTGAACCCTGTCATGGACGAAAAACTTTCCCGCCGTTTCCACATCTCAGGATTTTGAGCAAGAGCATCTAAATTCTTTATTGGTTGTGGTGTCATACTCATGCTTGTTAGTGCCTGCAATTTATTATTTCATAAATTATGTTACTGATTTCATAAATTCTTGGAATCAAAACTTTGTTGATGCCAATAGTCAAATACAAAGGACAATGATGGGCATTATAGATTTGGCTTTAAATATGTTATCTGTAAAGTACTTCTAATTATTAAAGATATGGTTGAAATAAATCAATAATGCACATAACTTTTTCATACTATAAAAATAATAATTATTTCTAAACAATTTGCATTTGATTGAACTTGAAGTCATAAAACACAAGTGAAGTTTTGAAGCTGGAGCGTCCCATGTCTTCCTCCCTAATCTGTACATTATATACCAGTAATGCCAAAAACAGGGTAAAACCTCAAGTAACATGGTTGGAATGCCTACAGCAATAGAAGATTTCGTAATTCCACAGGGTGACAGGTTTAGCGTTATAATTTTGGAACCATCACCACTTTAAATTGCTATGTACAATCTGTCTGGAAGTTATTCCACCTATATCATTATAAGTTATAAATATGATTAAAAAGGAAAAGTTTGAGGCTAGATTGATTTTAAATTACCTGTTTGAGATGATTTTTGAGAATAGATCCCTCTGGTTCCGGCATACAAGGTAAATCATTGCTGCCATACTGTGCCAGTATTGGGGGATTAATCTGAAAACAGAATTAAATTTGGGTCATTCATAAAATTTCAAATGAAGCCAATTCAAACCTATCTTACCAAATATGTACTCTTGATGGTGAGAAATATATATCCATAGCTTCCAAAAGAACCACCAATGAAGAATTGCAGAGAAGTATCACAGGTCTTCCTTTAATATTAAAATAGAAAGTTGGCAAGGTGCCATAACATTATTATCGTGATTGAAATCCCTACTCCATTTTTTTCTCATCTGAAAATGATCTCATTTGATCAGGCTGTTACTCAATGAGATTAAATACAGAGAGAAATATTTAATTCTTTTTTATAGCAATTTCTCCTCCTATTCAGTAATCAGCCTATACATGGAATGAAAGAATTGTCATTGTCATTTTTTAACACCTTGCCTGCTGCATGGTGACAATTAATTTACTTATGCAAACAGTGCAGAGCAAGATTAACTGGCACAGATCAAGGTCTGCACTGTTCACTATTCTATTCAGTCAATATATTTTGAAATTTTCTCTTTAATGATGAATGGCTTTGTCAAAATTGAATCATGGACAAGTCCATTTAAGATATTCAGCATGGTAAAGGTAAAATGCTCCTTATATATTTAAGGGGGTTTATAAGGTGGCTTATTTCTGTCCTTCCTTCTGTACACTTACATAATTACATAATAATGCCTACTTCTGAATCTCTTGTTTAATGTGTAAATTGTCTGATAACTCAGTTATAACAATCAAATAGTCCCCAAGTATTAGGGTATTGACATCAGGCACTAATCTTCCGGATATAATTACTATTTTCAAACAAATGATACTATGGCATAATTGATTAACCATGATGCAGGTTTACTAAATATTTTATATTAGATAACACAAATAGCACCATTACTCGTTTATTATCATATATCAAAAGAATTAAAGCATTCAGCAGCAAATATGAAGTCATCCATCTGTGGAAAACCAATATGCTTATTCATTTTACATTATAAATCTTTTATTAATGTTTTTAAAGGGAAACATTCAAGCCTGCATGCCAATAGTCATAGAAAAGGGGCCTCTGGTGAAACAAAGTCTCTCAAAATAAGTAATTTCAAAATTGGCACTCATAAACTGGCAATTTTTTTATTATTATGATTTACATTAAGTTTGCAAGTACAAAAAACAAAGAACAGAAAGAAAGAAAAAATATGTATGGCATATGGGTGAATTTTACAAATAAATGTCTAAAAAATTAATGTTAAGTTTCATTTTTGTTTATGATGGTGCTTTGACTCTTGACCTACTTGCAGTGACTAATTCTACCCATACAGCCAGTGTAGAACTAGATCAGCCGGCAAAACCATGCTGCCTGATCATACTATGCCTTGTTTAGCTATAATTCAGTCACTACTAACTTTGAAATTTTCCCTACAAATGATGAATGGTTTTAAAAATGGTATTCGTATTTTATTACTGAAGCACACATATAGCTATGACCAAATGAATAATTACCTCCTGCAAGCCATAGTAAAAACATTTTGATATAACAAAAAAAATTCCTAGTACTTGATACTGAGATGCCAAAAAAAGTCATACATCAACCTTATCCATGTTTGAATTCAAAATGAATGGAATAGCAATATAGTCTCTTAAGCCTAAACAATTTAAATGCAGGAACCTTTGTTTAACTACTATAGAGAAAAAATCTGTTCAAGGCTCTATACTGTTGGCTGACCTTGAACTTCAATTTTTACATCTTGATATCACCAAAATTGATAATGAACAGTTCCAAAAATAGAAGCTGGACAAGTCTATATAAGATATTCAGTGTGTTAAGGGTAAAGGAAATTGAAAAAATAGATCAAATTTCTTGTGAATATTTTGAAGCATCACTATTTTTAATGATAATACAAGGTCCAAAAAAGAGTCCAAACAATCCTTTGATGAATATGCAAAGCTATATTGATGGGGGAACATCATGGATATTTCACCCTGGTGAACCATAAATTTGCTGGCTTCTAATAAACTGTTCTAAAAGTTGGCAAACCTGATCAATACTTTATGTAAAATCATTACACTTGTGGGATAGACTTAATATCATATCATATAAGTGTTGGTCATTTATTTCCTCTACAATCAAGTGCAATAAATTATGAAACCTTCTTTTTCGTTTCAATGTCTCAACTCTCTTCCCTTTTGAACTGCTTTCTTGAACTGATGTGACTTAGTACTGATACCAAAGAAAGTTAACTCACAATGAAATCATGTCTTCAATCACTTCACTTATTTATTTATGTTTATACCATTTTCTGCCCCTTACATAAAACTCTCAACGTGAATGTGAAACAGGCTATCCCTCCTGATCTGCAAACCAAAATAAACATTCCCAGGAATTGTTGAAGGATTATAAAAACTTAAAATTAAATAAACCATTTCAAATATAATGTAATGAATAATTCATAAAGGAACTATTGCGAAAAAACTTTTTACAGGAAAATTTTTTGAGCCCAAGTCTTCTTTGTTTTTTAAAAAGGGTGACGAAAAAAAACAAAAAAATCTTAAGGGAGTAAAATAAGGGCCCTAAACATATTCCCAATTTCCCACACTTTATATTTTCCCCAATTACCCAGTTTTTTTTCCCTTCCATAGTTTTATATTCCTTGATTTCAAAGAATTAAAACGAAAATTGCAATAAATTAGTGTCACAAATAACATGTTTCTGGCTTGAGTAAAAAAAAAATTCTAATTTTTTTTAACAGGAATATAAACCCCCTTTATCTTTTTTAGTTTTTTGGGAAAAAAAAACTTAAAAAATTTTGTTGCCTCTCTTTCTTTGTCTTTTAAACATAAGTTGTCTTTCCCCTTTTTCTGGAATTCCGAATAAATCATTTTCAAAAAACAAAAAATTTAAAGCCTTTTGGGGTAAAAAAAAATTTGGTAAAACAAAAAAAATTGCTTTAAGGGGAATCATAGACTCTGCAAATTTTCATAGGGTTGACCCTTTTTTTACTTTAAAAAGGTTTTCAAATGAATGTTCCAAAACCCGCATTTTTTTCTTGGCGGACTTTTTTCTTTTTCTGATTGGTTAGGCGTTTTTAAATGGTTTAAGTTAAGCTTCCACACATTTAACCAAATTATTTTGCATCTGTAAAAATCAAAAAACTATGTAAAAAAGTAAAACAAAATTTTTTTTTAGGTCTTACTCTCTAAGTATAGTTATAAAATTATAATTGAATTCGTTTAAAAGGCTTCTATCATACACACATGTATAACTCAAGTTTGAATGTGTGCATGCATTAAAACATGTGAATTGACTAATGGACAAACAATGTGACATTTAATGACTTTAATGTAGTCAAGAAATTATATTCTTCTTTTTGCAATATTTCCATGTTTTAACTCGCATGACTAATCATATTTCAAAGAAAATGACAAGATTACATCATGTGAAAATAGCAATTATATCAAAACAACAAAAATTATGCAAAAACAGAAAATAATAGTCCGAAAGCCTTTGAGGACTATATAACTAAATGGGTAATTAATAACAGACCCGATACTAATTAGCCTAAAAAAGCAGCAAGTTTTTATTTGCTGGCATATAAAGCAACAGGCTTCATATTAGACATTTGCGGCTTATAATGAGGAACGGGAATTGAGGATCGAGAACAAGTTATATAAAGGGATAATCTCAAAATAATCTAACATTTTATAATAAACACGGTTTCTAACGGATAACGGTAACGGATAACACCAGCATTGTCAACGATAACTTGTGTTTGTATTACTTGATACTGTCTTTGTCCTGAATAATATCATTCCTGTGGCTCTTCTTTAGGTGAGATGTCCCATCAATAGCCCTGACCGCCATATGTACTCGCATTTGTCAAATAAAAACATGGAATAAAAGCCCGGATCACGTCTTTCACTGACGATACACTTATACTTTAACGTAACTCGAAGAACTTAAATCAATGTGTGCATTTGAAATACATATTTGCCTCTTCAGTGAGAATTGTGGTGGGATTATAAGCAAGCAAAAATCCTACCGAAAAAATGAACATAATTAGGAGAAACGATGAAACTACATAACTATTTACATCTTAATTCAGTTAGACAGTTACCCTAAATTGGTACCATTCTTAATATATTTTGACATCATGTAAAAAATAGCTTTCAAACCTAACGTAAATTGCAATAAAATTCATCATTGTCTATTTTACTGACGCATTATGCTGATGTATTTTTATATTCCATACATATATATATAATTTATATCCACCATAAGGCTTTTAGTAGACAGTCTTCTTCGACTGAAGAAGGTTATATATCTATAGGTATTTTTAATATTCCATATATAATTTATATCCTCCATAAGGCTTTTAGTAGACAGGCTTCTTTGACTGAAGAAGGTTATATATTTATAGGTATTTTTAATATTTAATATATAATTTATATCCTCCATAAGGCTTTTGGTAGACAGGCTTCTTTGACTGAAGAAGGTTATAAGTTCAAGCCACGTGATACCAAATACATGAATTATTGAACTGACAGCTTCTGGTTTGGCGATCAGCTTTAAAAAAAACAGCAGTGAAAAATGTTTAACATATCGAAGGCAAGCAATAGCCCACCTATGTTTCATGTGAGAAATAGGATTGTGCACTGTTTAGAGAACCTGTTTAGATCCTACAATAGACTATCAGTAAATGAAGAAAAAAATAAAAAAGTATTGAAATATCTGGAAAAAAGTGATACCTCGGAAGCATTAAAAACAGCATAAGTAATCATGAAAATGTAGACTCGGTTTAATTGGGTTGTACCTGATGGACAATAAAAGTGCAACAACCCTCACGCCACCTAACAACGGCTTAAGCGGGACACAAATCTCAACACTTAAAAATGCTGGAAAGGACCAGGAAAATATAGCAACACTGAAGTAAAGTACGGGGCACCTTTTAACGGCTGCCACACGGCACTTGACACTTGCTGCTTTGATGTATAACTCCGATTCAGTAACTCACTCCATT